CTGTCTGGACTGGGAGCGATATCGGTTCGATGATCGCGATCTGTTCTGAGGTCGTCTCGACTGACGGTTGCAACGATGGCTAGATTGTGCTGCTTTGAGTTCGGCGATTTCCCTCGTAAGTATATCAATTTTGTCTTCAATACTTGTAGGTACACGGGGGAAAACGGGGTTTTCAGTCACAGCAGCGACTGTGCCATGAGGTTGCGTCTGTTCGAGTATTTTGTCCGCCATCATCGCTAGATCGTGGATATCTGTGTGTTTAGCGATGTTGTCGCTGACAGCGAGGACTGCGCGCACGGACTGGGGGAGGTGGTTTGTCCACATAATACGAAGCGCAGCGTCGGATATATTATCCGCGGCGAGATTCTTCATCCGGCGAAGTAACTGTGATGGTTTTAAGTCGCCGAGCTCCATCTCGGAGAGAAGGCGTTGAACTTGACGCTGTTCAGACTCCTCATAGACCTGGAGTAGTCTGTTTTTAAGGGTTTCGTAGCGGTCTCTCTCCGGTGGATGAAGGATAATGTCGGATATTTCATCGAGGTCTTGTCGTTCGAGATGACCGACGACAAGCTCAAACATGGCTTGGTCGCCCTTCTTCTGCGGAGACATAATCGCCTCGAACTGCGCAAACCATAGGCGTATTCTGTCGCGCCATATAGGTGGAATGCGCAGCGACGTCGACACGCTGGAGAGTTCCGGCGTTTTTTCGTTGGACATTACGACGAGCTTGACTTTCTGCAGTACTAGGCGGCGATTGATTCTTGCAGAGATCCGTTGGCAGCGTCGGGGTCACCATTTTAGGAGCTAGGTAGGAGAGCCTAGTGTCCTAGAGGAGGTTTCTTCTTTTCTTCCATTACTAGTAAAACTCCGATGAGAGGTGTGGACCAGAATGATTTTATTCGCCAAACTACGCTACTTATATTTCTATTTACATATTTACAATTAGATAATATCAGATATAGTTAGGTGATAGTTTCGACCAATAGCGGCGCGCCGGCGTGCGCGGGGCGCGCGGGGTGCGGGGCGCCGCTTTGCACACGGCACTATCGGTTCCTTCCGTATAAGTATGACCGCGCGGCGCGAGCGCGCGCATTTCTGCGAGCGCCGGCGTCGAGTGAAGACTGAAGACTACCTACAGATGAACAATGAAGACACGACGAATGAAAGTGCTCCGGCTCCGGCTCCGCTTGCGCTGCTTGGCTGCTTGCTTAACCAAACCGCTTCTTTCGAAGCGATCGCTCGCGGCACGGTGTGATAACGCTGTTGCCGCAGTGATTATTATCGTTTCTATGCGAGAGAGTCGTAAACTGTCTTTTTCAAGACAATTGGTTTCTTGTTTCTAAAAACGGAGTCAAAACGTAAACTGTCTTTTTCAAGACAATTTGTTTCTTGTTTCTAAAACGAAGTAAGTCTGAAACTTTTGGTAAAGGTATTGTGGAAGGTATATGGTAAGGTATTCGGTGGTACTGGTATCTGGTAGGTATGTAGTCGTGCGGTGCGGCTACAGCTTGATAAAGATGGCCACTTCGAAATGAGTTGCTGGTGCGCGCTTTATTTCTGAAATACATAATAATATTTGTTTGTATGGTAATCAATATAAAATAATTAGAGCTATGTAAGGACATAAAAAGAAGTAAATGACAACTAAGATATATCACACTTCCCTAAGTAGATAGTTACCTCCGTATTACATACTTTACTTCAGGTACAAAAACTTGTAGGTGTAAATAAATAACTTGAAGCAAAGACATATCGAATCCCTAGAGAAATCTAGAAGAACAGAGGAAACCATTTACAATACAAAACTCAATATGTTTTCTTACGTAGCACAATGTATTGAGAGCCGCGGAAGACTTAACGGATTGCTGGGTCTCCGGCTCAAAGTGCAGGAGTAGAGAGAGAGAGAGAGAGTAGAAGCGGGGTGGTTTTGTGTAGTCAGTAAGTGTCTGACACTGCATCTCGCCTCACCCGGGCGGGAGAAGTCTTTGCATGATTTCCACCCCTCAAAAAAAGCACAATATGTTGCAAAAACCAATTACAATAGCGCTAAAATAAACAGTCTACAAAGTTTTAAAAGTGATTTATTAAAAAAATATAACCAAATCAAATCCATAAATCACGTTATACATTAACTTTCCAGACGATTATTTAACTTCGCAGTACATAAACAGTTTGACGTACTAGTGGCTCCATCTGTCGTGAACAAATGGCATTAAACTCTGTTATTAATTAAAGTGGGGTTTTGTGGCTATGTGATGGATGAATCTATGTATTATCGCAGAGATTCTGACATTGTACCGACTGTTTAGGGAACAATGAACAAATGAGCCAAGTCAACAGAAACCTTGAGAGAGGCATCATCTGTTTGTATAAATTTAGATGTCGGATAGTCCCAAAGGATTTTGTTTTGAAGTAGGTATTAAAAATTGTTATGCTATAAGTTGTAGCAAACATGATTATTTTAAAATAACTAATTATTATTATTAATTACATAAACATTAATTTAGTAGTAACTTAAAATCTTACGCCCACATCTCTATCTTCATACACTGAAAAATCAAAACTAGAATTAAAACTAAATTTCGTTATTCAGAGTCTCCAACACGAAATCTCAATAAACCACAGAACAAATAAAATCATACGATATGTACATAAACATAATTATGTACATTGATACCCTATACATACATAACACGAGACGATACAAATGCGACACGAGGAACGAAGTGAGTGCTCGTATGCAATCTCGTAAATACTAAAACTGCCACGCGAACATTGCACGCACAGATTTCTATACATACAAAATGCGATAATGTAAGAGAACAACGTTTGAATCACCTTTTGTAGACAGTGCTATGAAACAATAAGTAGATAGAGGTAGTAAATATCGTCTAAAATAAATAATGTGTTGTTACAATTTTATTCCGTGGGTAATTAATTTCATAACATATCCTCTAATTGAGATTTAGCTAATTCCTGATTTATACTAATCAACAAAATAACTTTATTTATGTACGTACATGTACAACTTTTCCGGTAATTCCTCTTTACGACAGTAAACATAACAGTGGTGGAACCAATAAAAAGTGGAATACGCAAGAAAATACAAAATTATGTACTACTCAACCGTTATATAAATACAAAATACTAGGAACAACTAAACATGCACACGTTTCCAAAAGTTCTTCTTATGAAAATATTCACAACATTAAAGGACGCGGCTAGTATATTAATCTAGCTGACCGGCCAGTATAAAGTTGGACTATGTACCGTATCTAAGTAATAAATAACCGGTATAGCTGAGCAAACAAAACATCACTCTGAGCCAGTAACTTGAGACATATTTCTTTGCACATCTTCCTCTTAGTAACAACTGCGACACAAAAAAATAGACACACTAAAAGGTTCATAAATTCTAATTAAACTTATTTTGAATTACAGGGAAACAGGATTTATGGTGATCTAACGAACAAATTATTCATTAAACATTTCGGTAACTTGCGCTTCCTTGTAATGTAAAAGAAATTAAATTACTTAATTAATTATTCGTTTTTATATTTTCGAAATAAGGCGTCATATACAGAAATTATTTTAATAGCGATTACTAATACAAGATTGTTCCAATTCTAATTAACATAAATTGTAGTAGAAACTTAGTATTTTCAATTAAATTCTCAGTTTCTTATCTAGTGAGTCTTCTGCCAGGCAATATCTTTGCTACGAAGGCTACGCTGTAGCGTTGTAGCTGACTACGGTGCCGACTTATTTGCTGTCCGCTACGGCTACGACGTAGCTTGTAGATACATAATATCGCCTACGCCACGCTACGACACCACACAGAAATGTTTGTTTGTAATTTAGTCAGTAAGATAAGCGTGTATTTGAATTCTTAGACATTCTTAGTTACATTTTGATTAACATACGATCTGTTAACTAAATACACCACGAATTCATGTGTAGACTAAAATATTATAATGAAATAGAATAACTGATTTTTTCAGGTACCTACTGACATAATCGGGAGACAAAATTATAGGACCGCTCAGTTATTATCAGGTATAAAGAGATTAACCTAATTTTTGAACAAAAATCGCTAAAAATATCCTTCCTCCGCTAAATAATTAACTAATGTCGTTATCAGTTATACTTAACGATTATATTATCGTAAGTACAAGTAGCCAATGATCTGGAAAATATTAGGTACCTCAACGAACTAAAGTAGAGGTTTCAGTTCTTGAAAAAAAATGCTTTTAACTTATAACGTAATTCTAAGGATACGGTTGGTAAAATAACCGGTAGTTCTAAAGCCCGCCTCAGTTTAAAAGCCTAATAATAAAGATAGACAACGTTCTTGGAATAATGTCTTACAACTAGTGGGCTGTCTACGTCGACACTTCTATAACTTAATATTGCGATACTATTTTGCGATCTTTACTAAGATAGTTGAAACTTTGTACTTCTATAATTCAGCATTGTTTTTAACTGTTTTAGACATCCAACTACCTACATTAAAATATTTTTAATTTGTATTCTACATTGTCGTCCGCATACAAGTGCCTATAAACTAAACTAAAGGACTTATTGGACTTATTGGACAACTATATACTTATAAACTGAACTAAATGACTTATTGGACAACAGACACGTCTTACGGTCTTAGGTAGTAAAATATTAAGTAATCAGTAGATAAGGTAACGAGGCCGACTCCCCAGTGAGCGCAAGAGGTAACAAACACGTTCAGCCAGCTATCGGCACGTGTTAAGGCCACTTTTATACATTGTATCTATGCTAATTTTCAAAGTAAAATCAGCCTGTAGATACCTTATCTCCTACTTAGTTATTGCTAGCACGTTCTTACGACTAGGACGCTTAGCTTACACTTTCTTACACGCAGGGTACCTACTCTTCGACTAGACGATTTCGAGTGGGTACGTATTACGTACCTAATAAATAAATATTGAGGACCCTGGATCAGTGCAGACTGTTCCTCATATACGGTCATAATCACAGAATTTGTGGTCATAATTTCAGCAAATTTACAAAAGTCATTGACTTGTAAAAAGAAATTAACTCGTCGAGTACCGGTTTTGTAGACACAATTATAGAACAATAGGTTGCGGTCACCGATGACCGCTTGGTGTTTGACAGTTTAATCACACCCATTGGAAGTTGAGAGGATTTATTGTGAAGAAAATTACATTTAAAACAAAATATTTGTTAAAACAACAAACATAACCAAACTTCGAAAATGATTAAAAAGCCTTTGAAACTGCCGTTCCCTAGGCATAACTAAACCAATAAGCCCAACAATGGGAACACGCAAACGAGCAAATAACTCATAAAGGAATTTGTAACACAGCCCTAAATCACATGATAATATCTTTTTGAAAAGAGTTGTTTCATATTTCCGATTATTTCGCCCACGCTTTGTAATAAAATGACTAAGTTTTACTATTTATGTGTACAAGTACGTAACGTTAAAAATAAAGGCGTTGCCAGCTTGAATATCAAAGGGTACCTGTCACTTGTTAACTTAAACGTGCTATTATCAATAAAGAGCCCTTTGTTCACATCTTAGGTATGTACAAATTGAATATTGTCTGGGAGAACGCGCGACATGATTGTTTCCGTACGTGATTGCTACTATTTTATATCTCAACGTTCTTCTATTTATAGTGCTTTGAATAAGTGTCACTTTAATCTGAGATTTTCGGCCTGACTCTTACATAGCTTCTATAAGCTCTAAAAACCAAAACTTGAATGCTTAACGAGATTTTTTAAAAACAAAATGCATAGGTACTTATATGTGAACGAAGCCGCAATGTCCAGTAACTCGTGTACGCTACTCTAGCAGGCAGGTAATAGTACATAGGTACCTATGAAGGTGTAAAATTAAAACAACATTAAATTTGAACGATTTCATCAGCGCTTTATAACTTACAACTATTTAAAGACTAGATAACTTCTTTAGGAAAACACACAAAATATTGAAACTATATTTTAAATTCTATGTTAAATCTGGCACTTCTCCAATCCACCAGAACACTAAACTATTTTCACTATCTTCTTTATATTCCATTTCTAAATCAGGAGATTCTCGTTCTTCAATTTTTCTTTTATTTGATTGTTTGGTAGCGATAGACTCGTCACTCGAACTTTCTTTCTTTATTATAGGTAGGATACTGTCTTGGTTATTTGTCTTCGGTTCTGGTGACGTCATTGGACGTCTTAAGTGGTACTGTCCTGAGCCTGTTGCTAGGATAGGCCGCAGTGGGTGTATTGAAATACTGTTGCAGCAATCTTTATGGAGAGGGAACTAGAAAATTAGGACAAATGTTACTTGAGTAATTGAAGTTATTGGTCTCAAAATTTATATTTGATTGCAGAATGCATACTAGTTTATATCTTTAAATAAGAGTATTATTGTTAGGTTCGAAACTATCAAAATCGATTACACCGATTGATATACCTACAGAATTCTACAAATATGAAAAACATAGCTTTAATAGGATTAAACTATATGTCATGCAAGTTTCTGACCTATCTAATGCAGCATCATTTTGAACGCGAAAAGAAATACCTCTACATACCTTATAAGTAGCAGTATCACCCATATGCTCAGTGACTTCCAAGGCAGATCTCCAATGCACTTGATCCTCGTCCCACACTTTAAGTACTCCATCTGTGCCACCAGAGACTAAATACTTGCCACAAGGTGAAATATCAAAGTAAACTCTTTGGTTAGTTTCAACAACTCTAGGCAATATGTTTAGTGGTCTACGGTAGTATCTGATGTCCCATAGTAGTAATCTGTTATCCTTACGAGCGCCTGAAACGAGGTACCTGCCATCTGGTGTAAACTTTACTTGGGTGACACCACCTGTAAATAGATTGTATAGTTTTTAGATTAGAACATTTTGGTAAGACAGTTTAGCAAAATTAATATTAAATAAAGACCAGGGAAGTGAACTTCTATTATATTCTGCTTAATATCCCTTACAGTCCTGCATGCAATCATACTGGCTCATTAATAGGTCACAAAGGTAAGTGCCGAGCAGGTAAAGGTCAGAAGTAGCAACACAGGGTGTTTCGAATTTTCAAAATGTTTCACAAAATCCTTATCCAATTTTACAAAAGTCATTAATAAGACATTATCTCACCTCCATGCCCATGCATAACTCCGATACTCTTGTAATTGCCTGGTGTATTCACACTGTATAAGCTAATAGTGGTGTTCCAGGAACCAACGGCTAACAGATCATTGCATGTATCAATGCAAGCTGCAGGAGCTTTAATTTTATGTTCTACGAATTCTCTACCTGGCCTGTAAATCACAAAAAAGGTAATGTAATTCTAAGACTTAAGTACAAACCTTCATACATACGCCTGTCTCCCATAGGGGGGTAGGCAGAGAGTATGGACTGTCAAAAATTCTAAGACTTCAAAAATAATTTAATCATCTTTAACTCGTCGAGTACCGTCATTATAGACACAATTATAGAACAATAGGTTGCGGTCACCGGTGACCGCTTGGTGTTTGACAGTTTAACAGCCCACTGAAATTTAATCAATGATTTATTGGTATCAATCTCCAGAGTCTAGACAATAATCAATTAGATAAATTAATGCTTTACATCATATACTTTAACTTCATAATTTGACATTTATTTTCGACTTTTAAAAATCAGTAAATATATCCAGTATTTATTGACCAATATGTAGTTTTAATGATAATATTGTTAAAAACCGTATCATATTTACGATTTATTCTCTATATTTACCAATTATATTTTTATTTATTTGTAGGTTGTTCAAACAACAATTTTATAATTAGGTACCTTTCTACATCAAAAGTCCTAATAGTTTTTTTATATCCAGCAATAATTTGGCTGCCATCATTTGAAAAGATCACAGATAGAGCAGGTTCCATCTGATCCACAGCATCAAATCCCCTGTACGAACATCGCAGGGAGCCATCGTAGGCATCCCACATTTGTACTGGAGCATTCTGCCTAGTTGTCAACCAACTGAAATCAAATTAGAATACTGGTTAAATAAGAATTAAAAATGTAAATAATTACAAAGTTAAATGCTGTGAATATTACAGCAGTATGTATATTACCACCGATATAAGTAGTTACCATATAAAATAACGCAGATATTTTGTTAAATTTAGATGATTCTATTTATAAAAGCAGATACTAACCAACAACTCTCCGGCACACTGCTGTTCATCAAAGGAAACCAACAGAAATCATATATCAATCCACATTCTTTGACATGAATTACAGAATCCATAACATCTATTATTCGGTTAGGGGCGACATAGCCGGTGTAGAGGTCCCGCGATAACTCAGTCACATGTACCCCATCATTGTTCACCACGCTAAGGCAACAAGTACCGTCCGGGGACCACTTACAACCACGCAAATAAGGCTGCACATCTTCATTAGCCCGTCTAGAACGCGACCACGAAGAATTAGATAGTTCTATCAGAGTTTTACTTGTAAATAAACTTGGATATTGGTGAATAAGCTCTTCGCTAGCGATTGCGTTTTCTCCATTTTCTACGTTATTAGCAGTAGCTTCACTTGGATTATTAAATTCCCCGACATCCACTTGATCCATTTCTATCGAAAGTTCACCCATTTTCATTGAAAAAATGATACTTTTTTCATTATTTTATTTTTGTAATCCAAATGCACGACAATGAAGTCGGCCTCAATTTGATTTTGACAGCTATCATCTACATCATCCTTCAAAATGACAATAATGTTACTCTCACAAAAAAGTCATAAAAAATTAATTACTCCTTGTTCTCTTTGTTCAAAGTAATTGCTGAGTCTCATCTAAAACTGTCTACTGACTGAAATATTGAAAGTTTTTTGAAAATCACTCGAACTGAGATAGGTAGGTAACTAATAAAAATCATTTCAAAACTTGGTTCGTTTAATGTTGCCAGCTTCAATATCACTAAAAACTGAAACCCAACAAACCTCAAACAGCTGTCAATCTGTCAATGAAGCAAATTGACATAAATAAAAATCTCATGTCAAATACTCAAACTGTATTCAATACTCGATCGCAACGGAACGATAAAAATTTACATTCATTATAGTCTGTGTTGCTTAAACGGCCGATGAATGAATTTGTAAATTAATTATGGTGCAATGAAAACAAAATTTTCCCGCGAACTATTTTGTAATTATATTTTCGATTGGTATGATTTTTTTGCATAAAAAATAAGTGCGTCAGTTGTTTATAATAAAATCGTTACAGATGAGGATTAAGTTCTTTATACGCGGTTTGCGTTACGGGAAAAGGGTTATTTCGAAAATGGCCTTTTCGGAGTCACCGGCGAAAGCTTCGCTGTGCTGTGAGATATCACAGGATGGTGGTGCACCAACGTATGCGATGTACGAGGCATTAAAAGATTCGTGCCAAAACAACGCGACCTATTTTCAACCGGACGACAGCGAGAATGGGCAGAGATTGTACCAAGGCTTCATGACCCTCATGGACCATGTAGACACTGTGTGGCCTTTGGTAGATCATGTGAGGAAGGTATGTACAAACATTTCATACAACAATTCGTATTTTGAAAGTGGCATTGCTGTGATTGCTGTTTGCATCTAAAATCTGTACTCATACATAAAAGTCTAGTTTAATATTCTATTCACATAATAATGAGGTCAGTCTGTAGAGCTACAACCATTTGCTAAGACTCTCTAATTCATTCTACATGCATAATAAAAGGATTTAACCAGATTCACACAAAGCCACCAGTTACATAAACTCCCTTAGTTTACATTCAAACTGTAAAATTATTTATTGCACATCCTTGTTTATATGATTACAATTAAACGTATTTTAATACCTTTAAACCAATTTTGGAATTTATCTAATCAGTGTCTTCTATAAAATATCAATGAATGAATGATTAATTATTGTAAATGGCCTTTTAATTATAATACTAATACCTGTTCCTTGATAAAAAAAAATACTTTTAAAAACTATTTCATTAAGAAAGTTTTGAAAAAAGAAAAAGTGCATTTTTAGTCTATGGAGGCTGTTTTTCTCTTCTAATTCATTGCACAACACAATGTTATCATAACAAACAAGTGTTAGCACCAGATGTTCTAAACATACTTGAATCACATGATGAGATAAGACACATGTGGGTATTCTTGATACTAGATATTTTTTACACAAAAAATTGATCATACACAGTCAATGTATGAACTTTGTCCATTTAGTGATTCATCCGGGTAAACACACTGTACATCTTAATTATGCTATTACATTATGTCTGATAAATTGCCTAGATAAGAACACCATTACACTGAAAATGCAACTATTTTATTACCTCTTATATATTATCTTGTAGGGTATTACTTTTAATTGTTTTCTAGTACCTAGTTAATTTAACGCGTCAAGTACCATCATTATAGACACAATTATAGAACAATAGGTTGCGGTCACCGGTGACCGCTTGGTGTTTGACAGTTTAAATTAGAAACTTCTTTAATTTTCGTAATGATATTAATTTCTACTTAGGCCACGTTCAAGAATTTTATAAGTCAATATTATACTGTTAAAAGAAATAATAACTTAAAGAAAAAAAAAAACTATAGTAGATCTGGCATTTCATTATCTTATCGATGATTTGTGATTTCAAGTACCTACATGTTATTGAGATTGTTGATGTAGTTGTACCTAGGTGTTTAAATTAAAATATTGGATTTTGACAAAATTATGAGAATTTACACATGTTGCATTATATAATTCAAATTTTAAATTCTAAATTATTACTATGTAATATTGTTTATAATATTATTCAAGGAAAAACAGTTAGAATCTATAATGTAGGTACATAAATATTTGTCCTGTTAAAATGCTAAAATTAGTCTAATGGAAAATGTTATTTGTTTATTTTTAAAAATATAGAAGTCTTACATAGAAAGCACTAAAAATACTTACACAAAGTATGAACACCTACATATAACTGCATGTTAAGTACCCTCAAGACCATGTCAAAATTAGTAAGACAATAAAAATCACTAATGACATGTCTATGTCTATATAACAATGCTATTGAAAAACAAAACAATAGTAATGTTTTATTACTAGACTATTTGTAAGAAGGGAAACTCTTGCTTGCATACGGTTTTACTTTACTAAATGTGCTACCCTACATTCTTCAAAAAAACTCTGAAGTATAAAATAATGACTTTAAACTGTCAAACACCAAGCGGTCACCGGTGACCGCAACCTATTGTTCTATAATTGTGTCTACAAAACCGGTACTCGACGAGTTAATAAAAAGTATATAATAATATTAATGAGATTAGTAGGGGTTGAACCACAACTCAATTATGTCAACAATGATTATTATGTGAAAGAATAACTTAAATAAGAAAGAAGTATCGAAAAAATTAATGAAATCAGTAGGGGTTTTTTATTGAAATGGGCTGTTATGTATGTCAGAATATTCAGTTAATAAAAATCTCTTAGCTAGTTAACTATATAAGACCGATTTCTCTTGTTTATAATTGACGCAACTTGCAGCCCAATATAGTCATGGCCAAAACACAAATTGAATCAAGTTTACACTTTTGAAACATCTTATATTGTCCTAAGTAGATTATGGTTTGTTTCAGGTGGCTCCACAATACGACTTCGATTCTAAATCGCCAGGCAATGGATACCGCAGCTTCGTTTCAGTGGTCGATTCATGTGTACTACATGGTTTAAAACTAAGCAGACAAGTGAATACCAGTAGAGATGCACTCTTATTTCGAAAGGGACATTTCGTCAAGTAAGTACTTACCTATTTAAAATAATAGATACAATATAAGACTCTTTCAAAGTGCAGAACTAAACGTGAGGCTTACTGTGTCCTTTGTCGCACAATCGTGCTCATGACTATGAGCCCCTGGCCTGACTTGAAAGTAGTCGAGTTACCGTCAAACAGTTACGTGAGTAAACCGTACGACATAATTAATGTACCTTCATTGCACATAATTTTTTTCGAGGTGTATTTGATTGGTTCATTACTACTTCTGTTTCTATGATGAAAAACGGAAGAGGTTCGCAAGTCATCGCGTAGATTCTATTTCTTAAGAAAACAAATACCATTTATAGCCAGTTAATCTGCGCAGTATTACCTTGTTACTAACGCGTGGAACGTCTCAGAACTAAAATTTTCCAGCAGTCATTATTCAAGATTAAAAAATGAATTCAATAGAGACTGAAGGTCGTCCTCTTTCAATAAAATCACACGACAGTACAGTCTTCGTAACATAATTTACGTAATATCATCAAAAAGGCTTAATTTCATGCTCTTCTGCTAATATTCAAAGTGATTGGCACTAAGTAGCAATTGTTCTTGTCATTCACTTAAACGTTTACATGAAATGTATCTTCAACACGTGAAGTTAAGGTCTATTGTTCAATGGCAGGTAAAGCAATCGTGAAATTAATACACGTTGGTACTTTTTGCTTGTTAACCACAGGCTAGTTATGTATTATTCAGTTTTTGCCACTTGTGGCAACAAGGAGATCAAGGTTGTTGCCGTATTTACCTACATCTATCCACTGATGACTAATTCATTGGCTCTTTAATTTCTATCTACTTATGACTAAAGCAAATACTTATAGTGATTACTTTCACATAGAATATGTAAATAAATACATATCGCTCACGCCTCCTTCTCTTACTAGAGGTGCATTTTTACGCCCACTTTTTACCAGTTTGGCTGAGTCACATAAATACATGATACAGGGGACGAACCGAATGTGATACGGCCACGGTATTTTTATCATAACTCTAGGACTCGATCCTTTAGGTTAGGTGTGTTGCGTTGTTATAAAAATATTGGAAAATAACAAAATTGTATGCTGTTGAGACTTGCGACCCAATTTCGAACACAATGCTGATCTAAAATATACTTAACTATAGACGCCAATAAGGTCTATATTACCTAGTTTATTGTTGTCGACAAGAGAAGTGTCACATAAATCGATTTGGCCAAGATATTCAAATATTTCGAGTTCATGCAAGTAGTATTATTGTTCATGAAAACTGATGCCAACTTTCAGACGCTTAATTGCAATATATTTGGTGGATAGAATACCATAAGCATAATTATTATACCTTTAAATATTTTTATTCTTTCAACATTCCACTGACCCCATTTTTTTTATTTAAACGTTATTCAACAATTCTGAACTAATTGTTCTTCATTCAAATCCTTACTTATATACGATTGTTTCATACAGATTTCAAACTACCGTATAGCCTGTACTCTCTCCCTTTTTACATACTATGGCAAGACTCTAAACTGCTAAACAATTTATTATAGAAGAAAAAAATAAACAATAACAACAATTTCGCCTTACAATATTCATTACCACTTCCGAGTTTCATACGTCCTTTATTTAAAATCTATGCTACCCGTGACCTACAACGGAGAAAACGAGTAGCTTTTTATTGACGTGTTCGTTCCAAATGCTCTGAGACACAATAGTCACTGCGTGTGTCTCTTCTCTGCAGAATTATTACTGCACATACTTGGTATAGAATAGCTTGTTTATATCCAAGGTTACGCAGTTAAAGAAAAACTAACTGACAGATATTAATCATTGAATATTTTTGTGTATTAATAAAAATTATTGAATTTTAGTCGGTTGCAAAACCATTAATTACTACAGCGTGTTTTCAACGAACATCGTACGCTAGAAAATTTTATGCTTTAACATCGCTTATGGATAATGCACTTGCAGTTTTCTATTCAGCTTTTATATTTGTTTGTACAGCTTATGCCTTTAACCTGCATATGTATAGTTAATGAAAACTTCCATACAGTTTGAATAACAATTTGTGTCAATGCAATTTACCTCTAAAATTTGTATTGACTTTGAAAATGCATTGCGCTACTGATCATCTACTGTAAATAATTGATCTGACAGCTCTTACGTCAGCGCTTTATTTTCGCAGTATTGCAGGGTAAACAAAAGAGCTTAAATGTGGGCGAAATGCGCGTGGAAAGTCCCGTATGTCTCGTCGAATTTAAACACAGTAAAATGTGCAGTAAAACTTCATTTAAATAAAGACTTTACCGAGTCGTTGCTCTCAGTGAACACTAATGTGATTACGGAGCTTTGCTCTATTTGGTTTTCCTCTGCATACCAATTGTACATTTTAATAAAGGATCACCTGATATTGGGTGCTAGCATAAATAGCAGCAAACAGATTAAATGTATCAATATGTGTAAAAAATCTTTATGGGGTGCAAATTCCTAATGTTGGGTACACCCACAGCTCACTTATTGTTACGTTATTTCTTAATTACAATCACGCCTTTAGTTTAAAAGATTACTGCGAATTTAGACACGTAAAATCCCTTGTATCGGACAAGATGGGTCAACCTGTCGACACGACTTGTCGATTGCGCAACCCTTGCGCAAAATAAAGCCGCCATTTTCCATGTTTTAGGGAGATAGAATCCTGCGGGCAGCTTCTTGCTTCACTAGGCACGTGTCTCCATCACCTACACACGCTGTTGTCATGGGCACCACCAGGAGAACTGTTCCCAACTGAACCTCACACGCCCGAGGAGTTGTTTGCGCAAGCCGACACCATTAATCAGTATTGTTTCTATGGAAGGTGTCTCGGGTTTCAAGTAAGTTGAATCTGTTTAATGTAGACTTGTATGATACTTGGTATTATTGTTGTATAATGTTGTTTGTTTATCCTGATTTCAAGTTCAAACACAGCTGATTAACGTAAGTTTTGAATAAAGTGTCGTGAGTTACTTTTTACTGCAGTAAATAAAGTTAGTCCCACCAATATTTTATTGCTTAAATGTTATTTCTTTGTATGCCATGAATAGATTGGCAATTGTTATAAATAATAGCACTTTTGTATTTTTAAACACGTTTTAGTTATATTGATATGAAATCGTTATATAGTCTATTCTCCTTAGCTAGGGTTAGTAGAAGTAAAATACAGCATCTGTGCGGAAGAGGGAATATTTTAAGATTTTAAATTGTGGCCTTTTTCGACAGAATTTGGTCGAGTGCCAATCGCGAATTAGCTAAAGTCCGAAGTCCAATTAGTAACTCAATGAATTGCAAACAAGTTGGAATAGAATTGTTAATTGACTAGAGACGAAGTACAAAATTATCGTCCTGAAGAGTTAACTCGAATACTGTTATTTATAATTACTTTTTCATTTGTAATTAATGAAACCGTTGTAATGGAATGTTTGTACGCGGTTTGTAATATACAACTTATAATAATAATGAAACCAATTGTCTATTCTATAATCATGAACCGTGCAACAGGGTATAAATAAATAGGTAGTTATGCAATGTTTACATCATATTAAATGCAGTGAAAGCGATAAACCTGATTTTCTGGCACTTAATTTAATTCTACAAAATTCTCACGTTCGCTGTATTAAGCTATAGCTTTAACTATTCACAAGTTCTAGAAAATACCTTCAAACTCACCTTTGCCTTAATCTTTATATTCTATTGCAGTTTCTACCATCCATGCGTGGCATATTGAAAGGCATATCAATATGTATGGCGGGTTTCTCCGAGGCTTACTATTGCCATGGTAACCTCATCAGCTCCGTGTGGACTGGTGGCCAGTACCTCATCGACCCTGAGATGAGAGCAAGGAGGATCGTTAACATATCTCAGTCTGCGAACATAGAGTTCTGCAAGGCGTTCTGGTTTCTGGCTGAAAGTGGTATGTTTATTATTATTCCTAATTTAGATTTACACGTCATATTTGGTAAGGGAAATCTAGCTATGTTCAGATTATAAGTTTCGTGAGACATACTAAATTAATTATTATGTTTATTTAATATATTCGTGAGCAGCATGGCTTGAAGCTAGTCTAGTTTCTCACCACACAGCAAACCACCAAAAAACAATAATTAATGTATAAATCTAGCGGTTTGTCATTTACTTTTAAGGTGTTTGTTTTGTTAGCTATTTCTGAACCGTCTATTTGTTTAAAAAAAAAAAACATTTTATTTTATACGTCACCGTATCTATTGTTCGAACCTTCAAACCCGACATACATTTCGCATACAAGAGTGACAACAACAATGCAATAAACGAAACATACGTATGTATTGTAGCAATGAAATTGACGGTGCACAATCGCCCGCACACACGAAAGTACTTAACAAAACGTTTTCCTCAATTGATCATTAAATGACATTCTCGAAATATGACGCGTTTGCCTCATAACAAATGAATAGTCATTTCAATTCCATTCAGGTTTAGAAATAGGTGTTTTCCCGTATCTATTTGTCCTATTAACTTAGCGTATTTATCCCATATTATAAACGTTGTGACTAATTTAATCTTAGTACTATGTGTAAATATGACGTACGTACAATAGGCAACTAGACAATTTTAATAAATTGATCCTATTAGGTTCCTACACTACAATACATCTACTTATTGAAGAGCCTAATGTTTAAGCTGGAAAGAATACCTATCTATATTTATGTACCTTACCTTGGAGGTCGTACGAAACATTTCACAATTTGTACCCATGCTAAGAACATCCTACTAGACTAGAATAGCACGCGTGATTTAATGAACACGAGTCGTTAATATTAGGGTCAATGTGATAGTTTCGTAAATATGTCGCCGAGTTCAAGGCTAACAATATCAAAGTTATCTTCATTCAATACCTATTAAATAATCACTAGAAAATTATCTCTCTGTCTGCATGTTACCTCATATCTTAGGCCTTAGTACGAGTTTGATTTACGTTTAAAGTATTCGTAACGAGTACGCGTTCGGCACTCTGATTGGCCGGCGCCAATGAACCAACCAATCACAGCGCCGAACGCGTACCCGTTACGATTACTTTAAACGTGGAACAAACTTGTACGAAGGCCTCAGTTAAACTGTTGAACTCATTTTGATAGACTCGTTTCTTGAAAACGGATATAGATTTTTTTGTTACTCATGTTAGTAGTTCCAAAGGGTTCATTAACGATAAGAGAATTCCATTAAAATACGAATTTTGTAATTTAATGTTTAAAGGTTATCAACAAATTAGATATGAATTCATTAAGTAGATACGGCGGTGCTATTTCACACGTGTATCAGAGTTGTGTATTTATTCGTTGGCTTACGTATCCTTATATCATAATTACGAGTACATAGATAGATACTAGGTACATTCTAATTGAGGTCTAGACAACTAATACATACTATCATATCTCATATCGTACTAAGTAGTAACACGGATGTTTCTGTGTTGTTGTTATTACTTTGTAGTAATTTGCGATGCATAAAACTTATCTGTACGTTCCATAACTACACTGTCCAATTTGTCTTGTTCTTTCATCATGGTATATGGTTGCAATGTATAATCAGATCACGCTTAATTTTCCTCGAAGGACCTACTTTATTTTATTTAGGTGCTTCAGACTGATTAGTCAGCAATAGAGTAGTTGCCAGGGAATGATAATTAAAAATCTAATTAGTCCGTCAGTCAAATAATCAAAAAAATTTAAACACGTGTGTTTTTATTTTCTCATATAAAGTTACAATACTTAGATAAAATGGAGTTAAGTTTAGGAGTGGGAGGTCGTTACGTCACAAAGTGCTACAAAATGTAGCGCATTGTGACGTCACACGATATTTCAGATTAATGTCGTCGAAATTATTTAATTTTGTGAGAAAAAAGAAATTCGTGTCAAAAGTTTTTAATTAATAGGACCACAAACCAGACGGACATTAAAATAAAATTCAGGCTTAGTTACCTGAATTTTATTTTGCCCTATTATCGCTATACATAAAAAACGTTAAACATACTAAATAACGTGATTATTATAACTTAACTTCACGCATTTTATCCCCGAAGGGGTAGGCAGAGGTGCACATTACGGCACTTAAACTGTCGACCCGGGAATCGCACCCGAGACCCCTTGCCATTCAATGAGGCAGTGATAATTATCATATACGTAATTATTATGTTTACAGTTACGTGAGTAACCCGAAAACAATAATTATCAATTCCATGTAAGAGTCTATTACTTACATGATTCATGTCGCTACTAAAGAAATCAGAATGTAACATTCGAAAATGCGATTGTTATCGATCTAAGAATCAATACATTGCCTAAAAAAATCACACTTTAGATCCTTATCTAAAGTGCCTCCAGTTTTAGGGAACTTTCCAATACAATTATTTCTTTCTAATTAGTATGTATATGTTTAGATTAGTATCCCTTCAATGCTAGCATGAAATTCATTATCTCCTTTATAAATGTTTAATGATAGATTTATGTTATCGTCCAATTCGTGACGTTTAACGCGTATTGAAATACTTTTAGCCGTAAATACAAGCGATTTGTTTATAAATTGCGATCGTATCAAACGTGATTTTCTACGTATAATTTGCGTACGTGCTACTTATATTATACTCTCGCCACAATACAACATCAGGAAAACAAACATACTTGAAGACTTGAAGTAGTTACATAAATAAGGCCGACCTAACTGTTAGTTTATTAAGGAGTGATGCAAAAGTTTTGTATCTGTTTTCCAAAAATTACAGTTAGATAAAGTTTGTATGGAAAAGACGTACCAACAAAAAGCTAATGAAATGTGAACCGTGTAACCATACGACAAAGTCCAAATCTCTAATTACAGTTAATTCAGCAAAATGTTTTAGATCTCTTTAGAGATAAATCTATGAATTTAAAGTGACTCAGCCACGTCAATGCTTTTGTTCCATTTTTGTACCTAACGCTATTAAATAGTGGGCGAATACCGTATGTTTTGCGGCAGCGTGCACCGTTATATTAATAATGTATCCATTCATTAAGACCCGGTTTATAAATTATAGTGTGCAATGTTATCTGTGGGGCTATTTTTATTCAGTAATCCAGACAAAAAGTCTTAAAGTCTATGTACCATTTATATGCAGTTAATGCCAAGTTATTTAGGGTTTACCTTATGTTTTCCTCTTTCCTTAATCTGTTTTGTGCATATATTTGGCTTATATGGCAATTTATTTTATAATAGTTAGTCATCCAGTTTATTCTTAAGTCAATACATAATTTTGTACCTGCACATCTAATTTAATAGCATAATTCAGCAATATCGGTTCCTAAACATAGATATACATTATATGGGCCTTATCTACATAAGAGGGTTCGTTATAATGTCCTCGTTTGGCTGCCGGGTTGGAAATAGCAGTTCAGTTTCAGGTTATCAGAGAGTGCTGATGCCACGACGTGAAACAACGCCGTTTTCTGTGAGGCCGTGGTATCGCTCCGGTCGAGCCGGCCCATTCATGGCAAAGCATAGCTCTACCACATAACATAAATATGTTATGCAATTAATGTTTATATGACGCTATCTGTTACAGAGATAATGAAGAGAGTACCAAGTCTAATGTCGCCACCGGTAGCTGTGAACAAGCTCATAACAATCCCTCCAGAGCCCATTGTAGTGAACACAATCGATTACAAGGAAATCACAGTACTACCGCCCACAGTACACATAGGGTTACAAGGATTGAATGTTAGACTCATCAGTGCAAACAAGAGGATTGGCATGGTGAGTATAACAAGAAAGTGTTATTTAAATACAAAAGTGTAGTCAAACATTTACTTTGATGGGTAAAATAACTTAGGATGTGCAGATCAAAGTCAAAGTCAAAATCATTTATTTCAATTAGACCAGAAAGTCAATTTTGGACGTCAAAAATCCAACGTAAACAAGATCAAACTGGTTTACTGGGCAGAATAATACATGCAACATTCTATTTATTGTTGGTGGATATTGTTTTTTTATGGAATAACCCGGTAAATGAGCAGATTGATCACCTGATGGTAAGCAATCGGCGCCGCCCATGGACACCCGGAACACCAGTAGTTTTACAAATCCGTTACCGGCCTTTTGGAGATACATAACGAATTTGAAGATTGTCGGTGATTAGGTAGGCAATTGGGCCTCGTATATGGTAATTGTTTATTTTTATTTAGGTCGAAAAGAGTTCAATATTTGTTTAAATTACTATTAACAAAATTGAGAAATCGTCACTATAAATATTTAGGATATATTTAAATGTAATTTATTTTTTGATAACTACTGCAGCTTCCCCCTGAGATAAAGGTAAACAGTTTCTCCCTTTGTTTGAAGTAGCCCAATAATATTTACACCCTAAATAAATTAGAGGATCTTGACAGATTTACTATAACCATGATCCAAGTAGCTCTCACTCCATTGCTCATATTCTAGCCTTACTAGAAGTTAGGATGAATACTATATAGTATCTAGTATATATACCATTTGTTTTTTTATTTAAATAGATTGATTTCTTAGAGTGAGTAGTACTCTATTCTTCTTCTAAATTCATAAATATAATATTAACTTTATATTACTCGAATTGAGTATTTGGATTTAGCTGTACAACTGATGTATTTATTACATGGTGAACAATATTCCCATGACAAGTTTGAAAATACTATTTGTACCGATTACCTATATCTAGTACGTTATATACAGGCAGGCGAAGGATCATCGTCCTTCCCACCATCAGACGGAGTCCTCTTCCACTGCCACGGAGGTGGTTTTGTGGCACAAAGTTCAAAGTCCCATGAAACATATCTGCGGGATTGGGCGGCTAAGCTGAACGTGCCTATACTGTCAGTAGACTACAGTTTAGCACCCCAAGCTCCCTTCCCGAGGGCTTTAGAAGAAGTATTCTACGCATACTGCTGGATGCTCACTCATTTCAAGGAGATTGGCACTACTGGTAAGTTGTTTTATACATCGTTTTTTGCAGTTTTATTCACATGGCTCGACCTATGTAAAAGAGTGCTACTCGATAATATTTCTATGATCATTCTCAAGAATTAATTATACAATTTACAAAAGGGTTCGTTTTGAAATCTGGCTGATGAATATCGGCGTACAGCTATGCGTAACATCATTGAAGAGTTTGTGTCAGCAGTCCTCAGATTTATTTATTCGGTAGCATTATTATATTGTTGTTGTTTGTTGCGGTTTGTTCAACTGAATTGCGAACAAGACTATTTACGTCAAATATACATTTGAATAGTAGACTAAAATAAACCTTATTTCCACAGGTAAACGAATAGTATTTGCGGGTGACTCAGCCGGTGCGAACTTAGTAGCTGCCTGTACACTGAAGATATTAACGACAGGCCTTCGGAGACCAGATGGCATGTTCCTAGCATACGCCCCACTCATGATCAGCTTCGTACCTAGTCCAGCAAGATTGTTATGTCTAATGGACCCTGTATTACCTTTTGGATTCATGATGAGGTGTCTCAAAGGTTTGTATACTTTACGCTGTTAAAAATAAGGTTTACAATTAAATGATAATTATTTTGTTACTGTCTCTGTGTATTTGTTTTCGTGATGGAATCTCAAGGGTTTGTTAACTTTATCCTGTTAACACTAAAGCTTATTATACAATGCAATTATTTTGTGTATGGTATGTCAACTTTATTTTATAAACAGTACAGTTTGATTTTGAATGACAAGTCAATAAGTTATATTTGTTTAGGGATAATTGTATTTTAAGCCAAATATGAATTATAATTTAACCATGGTCTATTGTACAAAACACCCACAATAATACACAACAGTAACCGCAAATTCGTGTCATTCTATTTATCTATTCAGACTGAGAGACTGTCTCTGTTGTCGAGTGGATATTCCCGATAGTAAAGATATTTTGCTTTTTAATATAAACGTATCTCAGCCTCTACTGTGAAATGTAGGATATTTCTTCATCATCATCAGAGCCTTTTATCTCTGAAGAGGCCAACAGAGATGCACATACACTTAATGCCACTTTTCACCATTTATGTTATGAGTCCCATGTAATAAGGGGTGAGCCTATTGTCATATACCGGGCACAATTTTTTTCTTCTTTTATAATATCTTCTGATTCACTTCCTTGCGAGAACCATGACAGTTATTCATGTCCCTGAGACGCGCCGGCCTTCACTCCGGTTCCGGTGTTTTCATGGTTGTAGCTACTGTAGATCCTGGCTTACATGAGTTGCAGCGGTTTTAGGAGGCTGTGGCGGGCTTGTCCCATAAAAATAAATACCTGGCACAAATCAAGACTCCGTGCTGCTACTGAGAATTTTTTAAAACCCAGCTATACTTTGCCCGACCTGGGAATCGTACTCAAGACCCTTGCCCGGCAGTCGCACTTACGAAGTTGCGACCACTCGCCCAACAAAGCAGAGAATGATTCGTTTTATAATAAAATGTCATCATACCCACTATAAATGGAATCGATCTGGAAGTCGTTGTGATATGTTGATATTTATGTATTGTCTATTATTTTCAGCATACGCCAGTCCCAGTAATAAGTCCGATGGTGGTAAAAGCAAGGAGGACAGACAGAATGGAGGTCACACCCAGATTGTGTCCTGTGCCACAACGCCGCTTGATAGCAATGGCTTCCTTAAAGTCAGTCCTTCTCAAGGTAGGCTTCTCACGATTTCTTAGTTGTTTAGAAATGAGAGTACGTAACTTAGAAATTGTTCTCATTTCTCATTTGTTTATTTAATAACCCTTGAAACATTTAGAAACTTAAAAATGTTTACGATCCAGTGTAAGAAGGCACTAAGTATAGGCACGCCCCATAATTTCTTATGAACCTTATCAAATATAGACCTTACCAACCACATAACAAAGTATATAATCATTTGGCAGAAGGTATAAGCGAAGGCCCGTCATCATTCGAGGAGGTGTCTCCATCCGATCTGGCAGAGCTACAAGCTCACAAGTCTGGCAGTGAGCGGAGGAAGTCTTCAGACACTACCATCAGCGCAGCCTCGCTGCAGAGCGAACATACCGCTACAGGTGAATAAATAACACCGCTTTTTGTTTTTACTACAGACCAGTTGACGGGTTCTCTAAAACATATTTACATAATAAGCATCGTCATCGAATGACTAAGCAATAGTTTACGAACACAGTACCAACCATTTATTACAATAGAGGTGAGCTTAATGCCAATTACTCTGGGACAATACCAGGTTGAGTTCTACTGAGAACTTTCCAAACATTTAAATAAGAAATAATTTATTCATAAACCTGTTACAATTTTACAATTTGAGCTGTGAAAACCGCACCAAGCATAGCCTGTATCCCGGTTATCAAACATAATCCGTCTACCACCTGTTTACGAAAAGAATCTGCATGCTTACTGTAATGTATTATATTAAATTAAAATGTGAGAAAATGGGATGAATGTCTGTAAAGTCTGTGCAAGTGTTTATTAGTGTGTATTCGTTGTGTGTGTTGTGTATAGTAAAGGTAAAAAAGGTATCAAGCGAAACCTCGAAGACACTCGAGGTCTCATTCTCTCATTGAAAAATAACACCTCTTACTCTATTTATCTTTTGCTTTGCAGTCTCACTATTGCAACTACTCGACCACAAAGCAATAAAAAAATGTAGTCATCTAGTCAAGTCGCTGTAAATACTTGATAAATGAAATTTTTATTCCATTTTATTTTGCTCATCCTCAGGTATCACTCCACCGGAGGATAAATCTCAGAAGTACGTATCGGACTTCCTAGAGAGGTACGTGTTGGACAGCGACACTGACTCCGAAGGACGCAGGATACCCATCATCAAACCTAATGCGAGGGCTTACGACGAATCTCACAGGTAATACTAGAGCAATAAGGTCCAATTTCCTTTGTGTTTTCTAGTTATGTTACGAAGGAATGTTTGTATTTGTGTGTTTATGTGTAAAATAATTATGGACTATAAACTACTAGTTTAAAGATTCATTTTTCAATGATATGATTGATAAAGCAATGTTTTTATTTCGTCTGTACTTGTTATAGTATTTGTAGTAGTATTGTTTAGTACCATATTCTTATATTAACACTATAACTATTATAAATCAATCATAATGAACGTTCCATACATTTATTGTACAAACACTGCAGTCTTGACCATGCATGGAACTTATCGAAATCATACCCATAACTAAAGTACAATAGCTAAACTACATGATGGTAAGCAATCGGCGTCGCCCATGGACACCTGGAACACCAGATGCGTTACAAGTGCGTTACCGGCCTTTTGGGATTAGGAGTTTGAGGATCGTTGGGTATTCAGGAATTGGGGAGATTGGGGAAGGAGAGGGTAATTGGACCTCCGGTAACCTCACGCGTTGCTTCACGTCAGTTTTCTGTGAGGCCGTGGTATCACTCCGGTCGAGCCGGCCCATTCGTGCCGAAGCATGGCTCTCCCACACTTAATATCTTTTAATACAGTGAATAACATGATACTAAATGTGTGTTTTTCATACATGTGTGAACTTGTGACTAATACTGTCTTGTTAAAATGTAACTAAATTATTGTTATAGGGAAGAATCTGAAAACTCAAGCACGTTAGTAGGCGAGCCGCCGCTTGTTGACGACAATGATTTGAGTAAAGAAAGTAAAAAGAGGATTAAGACAAGGTATATATAGGTCTATTCAAAATTTATTTCTATAACTTTTATTTTTTTACGTCTAGGATTAAAGCACGCAGAACGGTTTTTGAACTGCTATACATCGCTTGACTAGCGATGCCCGCTACGCACTTTAACCGCGATTGTTGTACATACATTTTGTAGTTTCGTACGAGTAAAGAGTAAGTAATGAAACGAAGGGAGGAGATACATAATTGGATTTATATTAATCACTACATAGTATAAAACAAAGTCGCTATCCGCCGTCTGTCTGTCCCTATGTATGCTTAGATCTTTATAACTACGCAACAGATTTTGATGCGGTTTTTTTAATAGATAGAGTGATTCTTAATTGAGGTTTATATGTATAATACATGCATATTACACCCGTGCGAAGCCGGGGCGGGTCGCTAGTTTAATTATATGGCAGTCTCGACTTGAATGTATTGTGCATTCATGAAGTTTCATCATTATAATAAATTCATACGACCGATATAGGGTATAGCATAGCGCTCTTTTTATAAGACCATAAGACCTATATCTGTATGCACCTATGTTAACAAATAAAAGTGATTTGATTTGATTTGATTTGATTTGACTTGATACTTGCATTTCTATTACATTTCAATCCGATATATTTTCATAATCCTGAAGTTTCCTGTTATTTACATTATTTTATGTTTTACTAGGATAAGCGAAGCGGCAACCGGTTTCATGGGTGCCATGTCCTCCAGATTGGCATACATCACCGGGTCTAACGCAATCTCTAGACCTACGCAAGATGAGTAAGTGCACTTCATTTTTACGAGTTATATTAATAATTGATGTTTTTTAACATTGCGCATGGAAAATAATTATGTTAATCATCCGTCATTAAGCTAACAATAAACTAATCCTACTGTGTAACAGGGTTTTATGCTTGTTCTTAAAGATTTTCAAATTCTTTTTCGTAGCCAGCTTTTTAAGTTTTCTGTACTTTATTTGGGGCTGAAATGATTCACCGTTGTTTTTCAATATTTATTTTCATAAAATCCAATCGATATGTCGCTAACAAGAGAGACTACTAATTTTATAGATGGTATTGTACCACATACAATTAAAATATGACTACGTCCACAGTCTAGCCGCCCGTACCAACCTGGACGCGCTGATAGCCCGCAGTCCGTCCGACGAGTTTATATTCTCAGTGCCGCGCGACCCGCTACTGTCGCCGTACTGGGCTGATGACCAACTGCTCACCAAGTTCCCGCCTGTCAGAATACTGGTAACATACTTTGCGACTATGTTAATTAAAACATCATCTTCTTCAACAGCCTATAAATCCCCACTGTAGTGAGCAAAACCTCTTCTCACAGGGAGAAGGTTTGAGCATTAATCACCGCGCTTGTTCTTATAATAGAAATTATAAGTCCAGCAGCTGTAGCCAAATGCCATTTAGCGCTTGTCTAGGTACATGTAGAATGGAAAACCAAATTATATGCAATTGACGTAAATTTTGACACTTGTCAGTGTCATCCCCATACATTTTGATTTCTACTCTCTCTGTAGACAAGCGCTAAAGTGGCGTTTGGCTAAAGGCTCAGGTTTCCTCACGATGTATTTCGTTACCGTTTATCAGTGGTGTTTAGATAGTCTTAGAAAGTGCATATGTGTAAATCGGAAAGTCACATTGGTACTTGCTGTTGGAATGTTTCGAACCCGCAACCTCATGCATGAGAAGCCTCTCTTTTATTGTCTTAAAGCTCCGGGCCACCACGACATATGATTAAATACACTGTTGATAACCTGCGATGCGAAGAACTGAAGATCACTGTACACACTAGGTGGCGATGATATAGCATAAAATCTATTTGTCTAATCACTGTCAATGTGACAAGTTTCATGTCCACATAAGCAATTATTCTATTGGACAAGACACTTTAGTTCCTACTAGCGCCCTTAGCGAAAAATGTGATGTATTTCATATGAACTGACTAGACTCATGTTGTTAAATGAGTGTGTTACGTAAAGAGGTGCTATTAAACCTTTCTATTGTATTACAGACTGTACACTTAGACCCGTGTCTAGACGACTGCGTGATGTTTGCCAAGAAGCTGAAGAACCTCGGCAACACGGTCGGCATCGAAGTACTCGAGGGATTGCCACACGGATTCCTTAACTTTTCACTTGTAAGTATCATTTTGTAAACTGAACATTGTATAATAAACTCGAGAGTTATGCTAAACGAGTAAATTTTTTATCGTTGTTTTTTTTTTGAAGATTATTAAAAGAAAGTTCCCTATTTAATTTGTGTGTTCGCGATGAACTCAAAAACTATTAAACTGATTTTTGATGCGATTTTTAATAGTGATCACGGAAGTCAAATGATAACTTAAGAATAAACTGTCAAACACCGCGCGGTCACCGGTGACCGCAACCTATTATTCTTTGTATTTATAATGACGGTACTCGACGAGTTAAGTCAAATAACAACTAAATACTGTCGAACTGTGACTGAATACTAATGATGAGAAAAAAATGACTTGAATTTAGAAATGATATCGAAATGAATTGTTAATTTAATTTCCAGATGGCCAAAGAAGCGAACGAGGGCTCGAAGCTGTGCGTGGAGCGCATCAAGCAGTTGCTGGAGCTGGCGCCGCCGCCGGCCGCGCGGGACAACGACTTATGAATGTGCGGGCTCTGTTGCCGGCCCTAGCCGCGGCACGAACTAACTAACACCCTATTACACGACCAGTAAGTGCTACTTTGCAGTGAACTTACTTCGAGGTTCTGTCTAAACTATGAACTTTATTCTCTCGCCAGTAAGTGCGACGTTTCAGTGAATGAGCAAGTTACACTAAGGGATTCGTTCTATAGTCGAATCTATGTGAAGTGGTGATAAAGAGAGGAAAGGTCTTCAATTATAATTGGCAATTAACTGTCTAACTATAAATGTATCGATTCTAAATTCGATCTTTAAGCTTGGTTAGACTAAATTAGATTCCTGAAGACTGCGAAGATGGGGGACTTTGTCGACTAAACACGAAGATCTATTCAGAATGTTGTACAAAATCCAATGAGAACTAAACTACTATTATTACCGCTATTCAATCGAAATATTTAGATTGTGATCGATTTTTGATCGAGAATTATCTAAAGATATTGTATTAAAATCGGCAATTAGTAGAGAAAGCAAGAAAGAATCTCGATCATTAGTGCTCTTTATGATTAGGTATTTGATATGGTTAACAAAGGCTTTGTATTGTCATGAAATTGAATGATCCCTCATCTACGCATGTCTTTATTGTTAATGCTAATAGTGGTGGAACTGTATGGAGTCTTGCACTGACCAAAATTGTAAGGAATTAGCTTCACGGTGTTCGTTGAAGATTAGGAATTTGCACTCGAGAGTAATAGAAAAGTTTGTCCAGTTATCTTATCGATGTCGGGAAGTGGTTTATCGATAAAAATATCTAAATGTATCAATTCGAAAATTCAATGTAATGCGACTGCAATATTTCAAGCTCTAATTGTATGTTGTTAATTGATAATATTAATACCAAATGTAAAATCTAAGTCAAAAATAATATTCATGTAACTAATTATACTTGCTTACAAACTGTCACTTGATAAATTCTTAAGCGATCTTTGTAAACTATTGATGTAAATTGTTACTAAACAATGCCAAATTTCAGAATGGTACTGTCAATTTAAGATTATAGACATGAGTACAATTTAATAATATTATTTATGGTTGACTTGTAACTTAGTTCGAAGAATCTCGTCTAGTTTCAAGCAACACCGGGGCTCATAATCATGATCTGTACCGTTTTCGAACCGGCTTACGTAAGTTACCGTAAAAAATATTATTGAAATTGAACATGTCACTCAATAATTATTATACAAAAATATCAATAAAAAATCTTAGTAGTTAAAGTCACGCGTTAAATAGAAAACGATGTGATGTTAGCACCAATGTTCTGAGTTTGGTGCCTTTTGTGTGCAATAGTTTCAGTATTTTAATTTACAACTTATCTTAAATACGTTTCGTTTACGTAAATCACAATGAAAATAGGTCAAATGGAACCAGTATACGTATAGACAACAGCACAATAACCTACACTTATCTCTTAAATTTATCAATTCATATTCAACTTAATTACATACTGGAAAGGGTTGAAATTTGATAGATTGTAGTATAGATAGGTTGACCTGCTGTTATTTGTGCATCTGTCTCTAGAAAACAAATCCAATGGTGATTATTCATGGTACCTAAACTTAATTTAATTGTTTAGTTTTCATCACAATTTTGTATTAATTTTATGGCAATATGAAAGACGTATTTGGTCGCTTATTGCCATATGTGATAATACCAAAAAATTACGGGAAATGCATTTTGTTAAAATTAATGTTGTGTAATATTTAACTATTTATTGTTATATCTAAATATTTACCATTTCCCTTCGTTAGTGTTGTGAACTTTATTTGATTGGTTAATCATGTGTTGTAAAAGAAGCTTTATCTATTTATTGTAAGGGAGTGTCAGTGATTGTGTTTTATTGATATTTTAATAAGGTACTTCACTTAATTTTATGATGAGGTTATAATCTTTTTGTTTAAGTAGTTTAATAACTGCGGCTATGTTTGCGCAAACGATGCGCAAAACAGAAATATTTTGCGCATCTAGCTGTCATTTACGACAAAGGTTTTTGCGCATTGGAGATTTTCCGCAGCTACTCTTAAGACATTTGTTTTTATTTATTAACATTGTTTTCGTTGCTTACAAATACTTAAGAGCCTAACATGTGTTATATAAATTGGAAAGTCGTAATAAATTAATTATAAATTATTGATACAATTTGTGAATCCGTTCCAACTGTGTATAGAACTTAATAATACTGAAACAATTTTATTATAAACAAATGGAATTGTTTAACACATTATACCTAAATGATTGTGATGATATATCCAACTATAAACCTATGTAACTTGCTTTCTGTTCCAACGCAACATTAATGTGTTTTGAACTTTTCCTACTACTTATACCCCCTTTCTTCAAAAGCAAATTGTCCCTTTACCAAATGGACCATATCTGAATATCACATCTTTATCAAGAAGAGAATAAATTGTTGTAACATTGAATGCTCAATTCTTCGTTGTATATTTTTGATAAATTGATTTTTTGGGATGAATATGTGACTATTTTTATTAAATAATGTTTTTAAATTTCATGAGAATATACTCGACTGTAAAAATCGAGTACAGACGTCTACAAAATTTGTCGTGGTAATGTCCAAATTTGATGTGTTTTAAAGTATCAAAATGAGATAATGGAATTTGAGAAATGAAATTATTCGTGAGCTCTTTTGAACCTTAATATGTATAGCATTTTTCCACAGCTGTGTTCAATGATATATTTTATTTAGTTGAGCTAGAATGTTTATGTACAACTATCTTAAATCTGAAAATTCTATAGCAAAGTAGTCTTAGAGAACACATAGCTTTAGAATATGCCTAAAATTTTGTTATGGTATAAGATACTCAATGTTTTATTTAAATAGCTCTTGGTATCATATTAAACAGTAGAAATGTACCGATATTATTGCTTTAAATGTTAAATAAATAAAGTATATCCATGTATTGTCAATGTTTAGGTATCTAGTTCATGTTTTCTTTGCATTATGTGCACTTATATCTTGGATAAAACCAATGCCTTCTGATTAATTAATATTCGTAATTCGTATTCGGTCTCTGGCTTTGTGTTAGTTGTCTATGTATTGAGAACAAGCTACAAAGTTAGTTGCAATAAGAATGCAAAGTTAAACTGTGTCTGTGATAGCGAATTGAAAGCTTTTCGAAAGCATAACTAACAGTATTCTAAAACACGAATAATAAGTACATCATGTTAAGTAATGTTGTCTGTTTGTGTATTTATGAAAATGTAAAATAAAAATGTATTTAATAATATTTTTATAGAAATAAAAATATCCATAAAGACATGAACTTATTGTAAACTTCGACATTTTACTGTTAATATCTCTATATAAATTTATCGGTGTTTCGAATAGATGGACACATGAAATTAGGCCTTATGGAAATGGATATAGATGTTATATATTATAATCACAAACGAAATAGTTATGGTCTATTGTCCATAGTGAAAATATACCAACTAGTCAATAATGACAATATTGTACAATGTCTTATGTTATTTTAATAAATGAATGCAAATACGTAACACAGGTGGTTGTTTCTTACCCTCTATTAGCCACCTACTTTTTACTATGGCTGGAGCACCACTAGCGAAAAGTGTGTCTCATACTCTTGCGAGGATTCAATTTAATTGGTGACGTTGTAAACTCTCCTTCCCTTTATTATGATCACCTGAATGCATTTTTAGATGCCTCCAGGTGCATGCATAGTTTACAGCAGCTATGCATGGCATAGGCATGTACATACAATGGACAACCAAATATTTTATCAAAGCATGTACCTATTTTATTTAGGTATCCTCAATCAACAAGGGTTATGGCGTATCCACTGGAATATTTATGATTAAAGAAAGAGTAAGGTAAGTACCCTTTACTACTGGAAGTTTTAAACGTTGAAATCTGTCTTCCTCATAAAGTGATTGCTTGTCCTTGGATGACCTAGTTCAAACATTCGTGAATGCGTGTCGTGACGGTAAAGATCCTTCACAAAAATCGAAAGACTAATAACGAAGTAACGATGTAATGGAGCTCAGACATGCTTGCATGCCTCACAAATACCAATCTTAAACAGATGACCTACTGACTTCCTCCATCTTTTATTGTTTAACAAGGCTAATGCATCGCATGCATAATGATTTTCAACTTCTAAAATAATAATAAATGAAACATCGTAAAATGTTAATCATGTTTATTATACTAATAATGCTAAGGATGCAGTGAACATGATATTTAATAAACTTCATCATTTACAGAGAAGACAGGGGGTCGACAATTGACTTTTTGGTAACAACATTATGATAAAATGACTACTTACAGATGCCATTCAGAAATAAAAAAATATCTCGCTATTAGACCATGTAAAATCTTAACAAAACAAAAATTTCAGTACAACTCAACATTAATTAAATAAAATTTATTTTTGTTGTGCAAAGAATAAGCCACCGATAAAAATGTTTAGTTCAATAGTATAATTTATCAAAACCCTAACTTTCCTCATTGCTTGAAAACAAAAGCATTGATATGAAATACCAATTAATTGCGAGGTGATTATTAACACTTCCGCTCAGAATTCGAGAACATTAATTTTAAAACGGGGAGTTTATGACTACATTATTAAATACCACAATATACAAGTATAGTAAAAAACTGACAGAATTTTTATGTCCGATATAGTTAAAAGAATGTCTAGAGCTATCATTATCCATTACTTTACATATACTTATTCAAATCATGAAAAGGTTAATTTACAAGTTGAATGCTATTTTTATTATAAGTCATAAAAGTTACTTGTAAAGAGTACTAGACAGTAATGCATATTGTAATGTAGTCAATACATTTTATGAAATATGCATGCATTATTATGAACATACTCTGTACAACATTTATATGATACTGAGTGGAATATCAGTCATTTCTAGTACTATATTTATGGCCTCATACGTCCACAACCACAACTTATTGATTAACCCATCCGTTACAAATATCTTAATGTAAATCAATCCTGTATGCACACAGTGTTTTATTATGATTCTTACACATTATGTTATCACTTGTTTCACATTAACAACCGAGTTGAGGCTTTTACAAGTACAATATTTGGGTGTGGTTGTGTATTCAATCGTGTCCATTGGTTTTAGCATGTGGTACAGTGCCATTAAGTAAAGGTACGGAAGGTGTCTGTCTGATTGTCTTCTGTAACACATGGGCATCAGCTGGCTCTATCCTCTTGTAGTAGTGCTCTTTTGTCTCGACAATCTCAAATCCAAACTTCTTATAAAAATCTATTGCTCCCTCGTTGTTCACTTGTACATGCCTGAAATAGGTAATTTAGATTATAAATCAAATTTTAACTTGGTTTTGTTACTACTAACTCTTTTTAACATGTAGGTATCCTATATATGTTTAATTACAAAACCATTGCTCTTTTATGCACTTTGTTCCTAAACATTTTGATTTTTAAGTTCTCTATGTCATTTCTTTGGGCAATAATACCTAACAAATATTCACTTATATCCATGACCGCATTAAATACATTTATGATCCATTACATACTTTTAAACATAATACATCAACATAATAATATCCCAGACAGCTAGGCCTACATTGAGATCGGAACAGTGATATGTCGAGTTAAATGAATAAATTGATGGGTAACAGCTTAAATTGAGTCAAGTATCTTGAAACACATCTGTAGCACAGATACAGTTGTCAAATGTCCTCTCAATTTACTGAAGTGTTTATTAGGACTTTGAATTGTGACAAGATAGCTGATAAGGACCAACATATTAATGTTTTATCAATTACCTTGGGCAAATTATATTCTAAACTGTACATTGTACAGTGTACATTGACTATGTTCTTACCCGACTGCTTTTAGATGGAGGATTTAAGCATCTCCTGATTGGTTGAAAATTGGACTTTCTCCACAGAAATTGTTCATTTACCAACATTACAGAAACTCTTCGTCATTGCAAGTTCTTTTAGAATTTTAAAAGATTAATTACTGGTTTTATGACTTCAAGGATTAAATAAGTTTAATTAGCTCGTTGAGTACCGTCATTATAGACACAATGAAAGAACAATAGGTTGCGGTCACCGGTGACCGCTCGGTGTTTGACAGTTTAACTCGTCAAGTACTGGTTTTGTAGACACAATTATAGAACAATAGGTTGCGGTCACCGGTGACCGCTTGGTGTTTGACAGTTTAATCAAGTGTCTAATATGTATTTCATTCTAACATAAGTTTATTAAATAATGATATTAAGATTGGGTGGAAAACAATAATAGATTTAGAAACATCCATTTTAAACCAGTAATCGCACATTAATTACTATTTAATGATAGTATTACTTTGTCGCTAATGAGATGTTGTTCTAAATAACATTATGATTAGCTACATACTATTTGAATATTATACCCAAAGATTGCTTATATTGCCTTTTAATAGTACAATATGAGTCATAGATAGCACTAGATTTACAAGTTTCTTATGCAGTAAAAAATCATGGAAGTTAGTTACTGAAATCCAATTTGGTTTATGTAAAAGTAATTTTGTTGTGTTCTTTATTGTATTTCAATCATTGTCAAATATAATATGTATTATGATCTAGTAATCTGTTATCAGCTGGAATTGTTTTAATCTTGAATGCAGACAATACTAAATTATCATATATAAGTAAACAATCTATAAATCAATAAAAGTGAATGAAATAATTACATATTTTTGGATTCATAAATAAATTGATTGTTAAAATAAATTATACATTCACATAATTAACATAAGAATAACAATCCTTACGAGTTACAAAACTCTGTCTTTTGTGATTCAGATTACAGATAAATAAATATCAATCTTGATAAATCAATATGAATAAACTGCAATGAGTATTAAGTTTGTCACTTTATGAGAACATAAAGTATCTAGAAAGATAAGATCTTTGTTTAGAGTTGAATGAAAATCCATCACTGGGCATAATACATCATTTAGTTTAATAACTAATTGAATATAATCATGTCCTTGACATAATTTGCTTGGGTAAATGCCCCAGTGCTACATTGTTTAGCAATATGGTCTATAAATATGAATTTAGACTATTACACCAAGAATCAATTTACTGATAAGTCAAAGGCTATTTGACTGCTCTAGGCATGTTTATGTACTGATAAACTTGATATAAATTGTGACAATGGCTTGGTTAGCAGCACCTACTCATAAAGATTCATAACCTTCAATCTACTAATACTAATTATAAAATTATAAAAAATACATGAAAATATAACTGTAATGCCTGTAAATATAATGTAAATGGTACTTACAAGAAAATACTGTCGAAATTGCCGTCTTGTTCAACGTACTTGAGCACATGTTCCACCATCAGAGTACCAATGCCCAATCTTCTGTATGGGTACAAGCAACCCAAGGTCATAATATAAAGTCTCCGCGAGTTTTCCGACGTGTCTATTCTACAGCATACTGCTCCCACCACGATATCGTTATAATATGCTAACTTAGCCAGTTCACCAGCTTCTAAAACATCCTTGTAGAATTTGTCGTTGTAAGACACTGGAAATACAACTGTGTTTAATTTCTTCAGTTGCTTTATATTATGTGGGGTCACGTCGCCGAGTTCTATTTTAGCTCTGAAAAGGCAAATGTGCTCTTAGAAATGTAAAATGGTATAATATTAGGGACGGACATTGCACATCACTTTGGTGCGATAAACCATGACACAAGTTATTTTTAGGAATCTTATAGACACTCAAGTACGCGACGGATTGCTTACCTAGTCATTTTAATAACTATTCTAAAAATTAAACACTACAATTTAAAAACTAATCTAACACAGTTATATCACACGAGATCACTCCCGCCATCTACCAGTTTAGCTAGCTCGCTCACTCGCTTCGCTAATCTTCGTTCAAGCGACAAATCGAGTTTTTGACAGATAAGTTTCCATCTTATGATATCAAAATTCTACTGTGTCTAATACAATCAACTGAAATGTCTCTGACTTTTACTATTTTATAAGCGATTGCATCTAATTAATTACATAATATTTCTTGGAACTGTTATATCGACTTTATCAATAAATTCAAGGATAAAATGATAAAAAATACAGGGTAAATGATAAAAAATACTACTAAAATTAACATATTTTTATAGCAGCAACACTGCATCATTCGTCCGGAATCATTCTCGATCAATATTTTACGGAATAAAAGTAAAAATATCTTTGCAAATTTCAAATGAGGGTTAAAGATAATATGTATAAGTTATTGTAAAATAGAATTGGTATATTTTTCAACGGAAAATTATTTTTTTATTTTACAAACCACTACTATTCGTAGACACGTCAGGCGCCAAATTCAAATAAATTCATCTTTCTATTGTTTTTATTTGTCAAAATCCAACATTACCTGACGGTAGACTTCTCAGTAAAAAGAAAAAGCTAAATAACAAAAATGTATCTTAGCCAAGTGCGTAATTTTTTACCGTACTCAAGACTAGGATTGATGAACATCCAGAACAGATGTTACGAGAAAGTTGCTTTAAAGACTACGAAATCTCAAGAAATGGAGAACTCTAAGGCAAGCATGCAGTCTGTGGGTTTAACTCCTAAACAAATCGAAATGTTTCCAACAGCCAAGGTGCATATACCGATGGCGCTCACTAGTAGAGAGCCAATTATTTTACCTTTCGATGAAGTACCTGGGCCGAAATCTTTAAAGTACATATCTAATTTCCGTCAGTATCTTTCGGTAATAGGAACTCAGATCACAGTAAGTGTTCTCACGATGATGCTTAATGTGGGTAAGTACCTTTTAAGATAGTTCCCTAGCGTTGAAGTCTTGTTTTTTAAACATCAATTTGATTACCTTATGTGTTTCACAGGCACTTATGTGAATGCAAAGAAGCCACTGAAAAATCTCTCTGCACTCTTTGATGAATACGGTCCCGTAGTTCGATTCGTTAGCCCTGTGGGTGGGGACATAGTTTTAATAAATCACCCAGAACATATTCAAAAAGTGTACGCAATGGAAGGAAACTATCCCGTTAGATCGAATTTGGATTCTTTGGAAAAATATAGAGCTGAGCACAGGAATCAAATTTACGGCGGAACGTTTACCGCGTTAGTTGTTTGACATTCCCTAGTTCTGTATGTACTTTTTTCCATTAAGAAATGGGTACATGCTTAGGTAGGTAATTAAATTACATCGTAATTCAAAATCCACAATTGTCCGAAGTATTTAAAAAGTCTTTTACAACAAGTCTATTGGTTAAACTAAGTACAAATTCAGCATCTCAGTCAATTTGTTTAAAAATACATTTAGTGAGCCAGCTATTTAATAAAAATTGCTGTAAGATAACTACATAATATAATTATTTAGTTTCGGCGAGGAATGGCATCGCCAGCGGGAAGTTGTAGTAGCTCCTCTACATGAATCGGTGAGCAAACACATGGGTGGCATCAATGAAGTGTGCGAGAATTTTACCTTGAAGATATATAACATACGAAACTATCAAGACGAAGTTACGGACAACCTGTATAAGGAGATTTATAAGTGGTCCTTTGACTGTATGGGTAAAGTTTGCAAGTTTTTCTTTTTCGGTACCATGCGAGTTTGTATAGTTACCAGCACTTTTCTCAAATATTTCTAAGTTGTGATTATAATTTTAGTTACCTATTTAACAAGATTGCCTCGTTGGTCAAGTGATTGCGAGTGCGAACAGGCGGACCTGGGTTATCGAGTTGAACAGTGTTATTGGGAATATTGGGGTGTACCTATATGTACTTATATGTAAATTTTCTAAAATAAATATGTTAATATGTTAACCCCTATTATATGGGACATTGGGACTCATATCATAATTGGTGAAAAGTCGGTATTAAGTACATTGTGTCGCATAAGTCCTAACGTCATATTATTTTGCAGGATTGATCCTTTTCTCGAAGAAGTTTACCATGTTGAATACGGAGGTGGTATACAGTCAGTGCGACATGTCGTGGTTGTACCACAGCCTGGAGAAAGCCACAGATGCTATAATCAAATGCGAGTCCGGACTGCAGTTCTGGAAACTACTGCCAACACCTACTTGGAGTTCCTTGGTCAAATATTGCGACAGCTTAGACAAGTGTGTATAAGATCGAACTCTGTGATAAAAAAATCATTTATAAGTAAATCAAATGGGAATTACGACTTACCACCTGGAGGAGACGGTGGACCATATAGTGGCTCTGCTTGCGCTGAGCACCTTCGTGTCCTTAATTAAAATTTTAGAGTGCTCTCCTACGGATAAGGTACCCCAGCCTCCGGAGGGGGCCGAGTATCGGCTTCAAAGGGCGATATTATATGTACATACCTACATCTATTTGGACGCTTTTATTTTGCTTTGCTTGTATAATTTTATTAATGTATTACATTATTATCAACCATTATTTTACAGTTTGATCGGAAAGTATGTCTTGGAGGCAGAACAGGCCGTTGGTGTTCAACTCAAGAATGTAGGCCCTAATGTATCTGATGAATGTGAGTTAGATTCTTAGATTTAATTTCTCAAGAAAATAAAATACGTAGGTACTGTCAATTATTTGACTGCACGGTTGGCGTGGTGGCTGGGCAGCGGGTTGCAGTGTGAAGTGTCGCGGGTTCGATTTCTACACGGAACAATTGAGTTGTGTATCAGAAATTTTATATTTTGCGAATGCACTCCAGACAAAAATCGTATAAATTATGTAAATTCCTAACACTTAAAGTTGCGGAAGTCTGTTTTTATTTAGGTACTTTCGATTTTCAGCATTTGAACTTGAAAATTCATTGGTCAATGCAATGTTGGTGGGTGAAAACAAAATGAGTGCTGAAGATATAGCAACAATTATTATGGATATGCTTCTAATTGGAGTTAACACTGTAAGTTAAATTTTCGGCAAAAGATATTTTTTTTATGAAATAAATATACAACTTTTTGTATGTTCTCTTCATTACAAACTTTACCTTATTTATATCTAAATATCCAAACATGTAGATAATCTGCACTTATAAAAAAAAATGACTTAATAATCATATAAAATGAATTACTTTCAGATTACATCTTCAATGTCTTTTCTTTTGTACCACATAGCGAAATACCAAAGGGCACAAAAGATATTATTCAGCGAAATTGACAAAGTTGGTGGCGACCTCAATATAAATAACATGTCGGCGATTATTGAACAAACTCCATATCTTCAAGCATGTATAAAAGAGTCTTTACGGTAAGCTGAGGAACGGACCATAAAAATGTTAATAAAACTGAACTGTAAAGATACATAAATATATTTTGTTTTCAGACTGGTTCCACCAATTCCTGTGCTAACCAGAATCCTACCAAAAAATATAACTATTGACAGATACAAGTAAGCGAATTACCAGAATTTCTCTCTCAGTATAATGTAAAATATCATTTTGTAAATAAAAACCAGCCAACTTCTATTTACAGTATACCTCGTGGTACCCTTATTATTATGTCTACTCAAGATGCATCTCTCAAAGAAGGGAACTATGATGATGCATCAGTGTTCTACCCTGAGCGGTGGTTGAAGGGTGATGCAAAGGAATACCATGCTTTTGCATCTATACCATTTGGTTTTGGAGCCCGTAAGTGTTTGGGCCAGAACATAGCAGAGACAATGCTCTCTTTGCTTACTATCAGGGTAAGCCAATATCCTTACTTTTTTAAATATATTGGATCTTTGTTTGTATTTATAGAAAAAAATTCAACAGATTTCGTAGCCTCATTTACTAGCTTTACAAAATTTTTAGATTCTCCAAAAGTTTAAGCTGGAATACCATTATGGAGATATTGGATCAACAAGAAGTTTTATATCAAGACCTACTAAGGCACTTAAGATTAGATTCGTGGATAGAACTTAAACCGCAGAAACAGAAGCTATTTACAACAGTTACCTGGTACCTAGTTGCAAGTAATGTTTTAGTTAATAAAATACTTTGTAAACTTAAAATAATTTATTAGTGTCTACTAATTTTACATTGTAGGTTAACATTTAACTTTATTATTTTAATTTTATTATAATAAAATGGTTAAAAGTTACATACAAGTTTAATTTTTACATAACAAATATTAGTCAAAATATAACTTATTAAATATTAGGTACTATAGGTCCCTATATTTGACACTGCTGTTGTCAGCGGGTCCACTGTGCCAACTATACCCATAGTCCATAACAAATAATTAAATATCAATTTATTGATCACTATAAACAGAATGTTTTCCTTTTTGTCACGATAGATAACTCATAGTTGACAGCTTAGTATTTTACATTTACTACATAACCAGACAAATCCCTGCAGGGCAGAGAAAACACCTACAAACCAAATGATATGATTATCAAGTTCCAAAATAATTCTTTTTTTTTTTTGAGACAAAGTAATTCTACTTTGTATTTAAAAATTCGATGGACGCTTGTAAGCAACAATTACACATAAACTGTGACATGACATGTTTCACCTTTCATAAGTATCTTTAGAAATAATTGATTAATAAACTAGATTTGATATTTAATTATTTGGCATTTGGTTTTGAATAGTATACTCTTGGCCGCCTGGAAGCAAATATATTTAAATACTTCCCTCTTGTCATTTCTTTAGCCTCTTCGAGCCCAAGTTGATAAGCAAGGTCATGTAGCTTCTTAACTTCCATTATAAGTCCACTAGTAGAAAGTGACCCCAATTCTGTAAAGAAAAAGGTTGTTCTTTAAAAGGGTATGCTGACATTGAGAGCTAAAATTAAAAGACTGTCTCTTAAGTATATCCCAATATTCATAAATTAGAATAGAATGGTTAACTAGTTTCGGATCATAATAGAACTATAACAGATTTCAATAGTAGTACCTGGAGAAAATACTAAATTGATAAAGTTGCCCTGAATGGTATCTCCAATAGTCAAGTTTACGACATTTATTATTTGTATTAGAATTTTGATTATTAACTTGATTGTTTACTTACGTTGCATATAGGTAAAATCTTCCTTGGTAGCTCCTCGAGCCCACAACGGAGGAGATTGGTTGTTACTCGGCGGGGGGGCAAATTCCGAAACTCCAGGAACTGCAAACGATGAAGTAGAACATTGTGATCGTTCGTCAGAGTTCAATACATTAGCATTATCTTCGCTCATTGTAAATTGATTTAAAAAACGATCGTTTATAACCGAAAAGCCAAAATAGGTGGAATCATTTTGTTAAACAGAATGACAACATTAGGAACCAAATAAAAATTTCGCGCGATTTTTGAAAACTTATTATTCAATAATTTTTGATACATTTGATTTTAAAGCTATTCTTAATAAAACATCTTTCTTACTTTGCTCCGGCCACAATTCTGGAGATGCACGATCAAGTTTTTCCGAGCTGAACAAGCTTTCTTCTAACGACGTCAATGGAATATCATCAGATGTTGTTTGTTCTAAAACATCCCAAACATTGGTAAGCTTTTGACCTTGTAAAAAGCAGCTAAATAAGTAAAAGGATCTTATACTGCAAGAACACAATAATTGAACTCTAATACAAAGTTTAAATAGATATTACGAAATGTTAAAAACTAAATTTTACCTTCTTGAACAACAGGATTTTGTTTCGCGGCCATTTTCCAATTTTTGACAATTCTCAATGCATAGACTAGAGAATAGATATAGCATAAACAATAAAATTACTGTCTCTGTGTCTCTTCAATGGACAACATAAATGCATGGTCTACCTTTATCATATCAGTGACTGATAAGTGTGAATAGATGAGTGAGGCTAATCCACTGGGCTAATCAAAAGGCTAGTTCACACAGAATAAGCATGCTGTACACTTGGTGATCTGTGTTGGGAAAAATTTAGAACCACAGTGTGAAGAACTCAAAGTTTTATTTGCGCGAACCTGTGTTCTTAAATTTTCCCCAACACAGGTTCGCGCAAATAAGACTTTGAGCTCTTCACAATGTGGTTGTAAATTTTTCCCAACACAGGATAATTAATAGTAAATGTTTCCTCACATAATGTCCGTTCATTTCATTCTGACTAAAAATGTATGAATCAGAACGTCTTTATCATATACTGGTTGTTGGCTACGACTCTGTCCGCGTAGAATATGTTTTAGGACATAACTTTTTTTGTTTTAACTTCTCAAAATAAAATAGCCTTCGTTGCTCCTTAGTAACTAGTATAGACTTTTATGATTTCATCATCTACCTGCCAGTAAAAGTCCCGTCAAAATCGGTCCAGCCATTTCAGTGATTAGCCGGTACAAACCGTACAAACAGATAGACAATAAAAATATTTCGGTATAGGTATTGTATATTCATAATTATGCATGTAACAAAAGCGGTTATTTCAATATTACAAACAGACACTACAATTTTATTTAGATTTATAATTTTAATATGATTTTATTTATTTTTATGAACAATGTAGACGCTGAATTTCTTTGAAACTACTTTGAACAATGTACATACTTTGGTAAAATTTGGTTTTCTACCAAACTTATAATTTTTACTTAACATATTACTTATTTTTTTTAATTTGGTAAAAATTATTATTTTATAATTTTAGAATCTAAAAATATTTTATAGTTACTGATTTCCTAACGTTAATTCTTTATTTTTTGAAGATTTTTCTACATAATTGGTAGGAATACAGAATTGTAATGTCAACACTGCTTTATTTTTTATATATCTTTCTTTCTTCCGGTTGCCAACACCAAGGCAAGGTGGGTTTTCTGGCGAAGCCACATGGTTTTATTTGTGAAATAATTATATTATTCAGGAATAAAGTGTGTTTTATCTAATTTTGTAGCCCAAGGTAAGATTCGGGTAATTTATATGTCAATAGCATAACTTGGGATGCAGAATAATTTTAATTGAAAGTGTACCGCAACGCGCACGAAATGTCATGTGTAATTTTTATTACGACAAACATTATATTTTAGTGAAACTTGTGCTTCTTTGTGCTATTTAGTACATAAGATATCGTTTTAAGATACAAATCGGCATAATAGAAGAGTTATTGGATGTAACTCACTGGTGACCATTTTATAACCTAACTTTTACCTTGTTATATTTTGTGACACCAGAGGTAATAAACACTTTGATTAACTGAATTGGTTGAACTGGTTCTAAAATGTATATACTTCAACCTATTCTAAAATATTGTAATATTTACTATTTTGTATATTTGTTATCAACCAATCTTTAATACATATTTTGTGTTGTTAAAGTACTCAGTGGAATTTAACTTTGCTTGATATCCAGAACTAATAAACCGCATTTTATCCCAAGTGACATTAACATGCAGACATGCAGTATAGAATCTTTATTAATTAAACTTGTGGGTATACTGAATATAACATTTTTGTGCATTTGTGTTTTCAGATGCGTTCCGTCACATTGAAGGATGTTGAACAGGACAAGGTCGTCAAGACCGTAGCTGCCCATCTGAAGAAGTGAGTATATTGTACAAACTATGAACTTACTAATCAAAAGTTGAAAAAATGTTATTATGCTTACACATATTACTTTGCTGAATTGATTTACCGAAATCAAAACTACTTATAGATTGGTAATTTTGATACTGTATGTAAATTGTGACAAGTTGATAATGATCTACATTGTATCATAATATAATGTTGTTTCTGGCACTTAGAATACTGTTGTGAACCTTCACAATATATTGTTGTGGTCCCATTTTGGTATGTCATGGTATTTTATCTAGTTCTGTTGTTATTGTCTAGAAAATGATTTTTAATCAATACATTAGAAATGCTGTGAAGTTAATTGTTGCATTGGAGTGAAAATAACTAGATAATTAAACTGTCAAACACCGAGCGGTCACTGGTAACCGCAACCTACTGTTCTTTAAATGTGTCTATAATGACGGTACACAACGAGTTAAATGTACCTGACCTGGCCTGAGATAAGGCATATGCTTTATCTAATCCTCATTTTTTTCACTTCTTTTTGAATAATTCCTTGTAGAGCTTACTAAGCATATAACTATTGTTTATTCTTAGACCAACAATGAGTAGTCTTATTCCCAAACATCAAGTAAATAAATAATGCAATACTCTATTGAGTACTCATCAGTCAATGTCAACAAATGCACAAAGTAATGTCCCATATAGCAACTTGATTTACTTCTTAGCAATTTAGAATGTTTTCTTCTTATGTTAGAACAATAAATGGAAATTAATGATGTCTGGACATCTTAACTTTATTTTTCTATCATCACTACATAGTATAAAACAAAGTCGCCATCCGCCGTCTGTCCCTATGTATGCTTAGATCTTTAAAGCTACACAACGGATTTTGAAGTGGTTTTTTTAAATAGATAGTGATTCTTAAGGAATGATTATATGTAAAATACATGCATTTTGCACCCGTGCGAAGCCTACCTATGCATTATTTATGTCGCGGAGCACCTAACGGTTTACCGGAGCTCCGGTCGACGTGCAGGAGAAGGAACGGGGTGGTTTTTAGTCAGTAAGAGTCTGACACTCCCTCCCGCTTCACCCAGGCGGTAGCAGCCATTCGATGATTTTTGCCCCTTAAAAAAATGCATTATTTATGTGTCTTCTGTGATCTTTAATGTTGGAACCAAAGGTTTATTGCAGTTTTTGCTTTACTATAAAACCTTAAATATTTTAAACCGATATCTATTGTGCAATGCAACAAACAAACTATTGATGATTATTAATGTAACAACCATTTTATTTTTCCAGGACGGGTAAGGTCAAGGTGCCAGAACACATGGATCTGGTGAAGACCGGTCGTTTCAAGGAGCTGGCTCCCTACGACCCCGACTGGTTCTATGTCAGGTGTGCTGCCATTCTCCGCCACATCTACATCCGCTCACCTGTTGGAGTCAAGACTGTCACCAAAATCTTCGGTGGTCGCAAACGTAATGGAGTCACACCCTCACACTTCTGCAGGTAATTTAATAATTTTATTGCAATTTAGTTTTACTATGGGTGAAAAATGTACTGTAAAGATGAGAATGTAGCAGTTATAAATTACATTAAAAGCTGAACTAATTTTATGAACAATATAAAACCAAGTAGTAATTAATTATTAAAAACCTTGTGACAATAGGTTTCCACACTATAATTTTGCAACTGTATACAAGGTAAAGGCACTGTCTATATCTGCTTGAATGTCAGTGTATGTGACACAATAGAAAACACATAGTGTCTCGTGTAGATCTGCATACCACAAGTTAAGACATTGTAAACAATTAAAACACAATTTACTAATAAACTGGTTACATTGTTTCAGGTCATCAGGCAGCATTGCCCGCAAAGCCCTCCAAGCCCTTGAAGCACTAAAAATGGTAGAAAAGGTTCAAGATGGTGGTCGCATTCTTACTGTTCAGGGCAGACGTGACCTGGACAGAATTGCCGCGCAGGTCCGCCTAAAGGCTAAGCAGGCCGCCAAGCAGCAAGTCATCGTTCTGTAATTTTATGACCAATAAAAAATTTATAAAACCTTATTACTTTGTTTTTTTTTCTTACGCCTTAAATAAGTACAAAATTAATTATTGATATCGTGTCGGGTCATGATGCGGAGCAAGGGGGGCTGGGATGCCGTCTCAGTCTCCTTTTGCGAAACAGTCATGCTAGCTAAGCAGGAGGCGGGGCGCGTGATGCAGCGAAGCGCTGCCTCCTCACAACCCAGCCATCGCGAAGGACACTCCGGGCGTCGGGGATCGCCGGACGATCTCCGGCTACCGTAAGCGCGGGTCTGCGGACGGCGAGCATGCGTGGCGCGCCGCCCGACTAGAACCAGACCCGAGCGTACGGCGCGTCGCGTTCCGCGTGCGCTTCCAAGAGCCATCAGACCACCACGGATGGGGCCCAATAGGGCTGATGCCGATACGGAACCGCGGAGGACATAACGGGTTGCCGGGGCTCCGGCTCGAAGGGCAGGAGTAGGAACAGGGTGGTTTTTAGTAAGAGTCTGACGCTCCCTCCCGCCTCACCCACGCGGGAGCAGTGATTCGATGATTTTCCCCCTTTAAAAAAAGGATATCGTGCGGATTTTCTTTGCGAGACTGCTCGGTGTGGTTGTGGTTATATACACATCTACCGTCTAATAGGTTTTATATGGAATAACAACGATAAATAATGCATATTCCTTAATCTTAAAATTTTGGGGTTTCATAATAGCGGCACGCACTTGTGGCGACTTCAGCCAGGGTCTGTCGACCGCTACAGCACACAAACGGCAGTTGGTACCGTCTTTACCTCACAGAATATTACATTGTAAAATACAACGTTTATTTTTTAAAATAGCAACACATTCCCGTTTGTTAATGTCAAGTCAAGTGTCAAAGTAAAGTGTAAACGTCGTGTCAAAATTCCTAGTCGTTTTTGAACTCGTTTGTTGCCAACTTCAGATTCTGTGTTGTTCGCAGATCATCATATCGCAACGCAGTTGAGTTTAGTTTCTTTGAAATATTGGATTCGATTGGATGTGCTTTGGATATGCAGTGACTACAAAATGTTGTTAGTATTTGGACGTGGAATCGGCTTCATAGTATTAGTGAGTTTGTTATCGTGTGTTGTATCTTTGCGTCAGTATGGAACGCCGAGTAACACATTATACGTAGCTGAAGACTTGGAGCCGAGTCGTGGAAAATTGCAAATTATCAATAGAAACATTGAGAATGAAGACAGCTCTCATTTGGAAAGGAGAAAACGTGAAGCGACAACATTAACGACTCCCGCTATTCAGAAAAACATAAGTACATGGGTAATGGTCCATATCCTTATTAAATATGATTGTTATTTTTATTACTTTGATTTACTTACAGAGACCCGTATCATTCGTCCCACTATTTATAATTTGATCTATTGTTTACTAAGCAATATTGTAGTGTTGTGGACTTTCTACTATTTTTATCTCTGAATGACGATTTCTTTTGTCTGAAGATTGATGTTTCAGACTAGAAGGTCGTGCACATTCGTTATTTGTATTTATAGTAGTAAACATCCTAATTTTAATGAGGCGTACATTTTCATAATGACTAAGCACTTTGGGGGTATTTTTATATCTGGTTTTCTAATAAAAGCAGGTAAATGATAATTTGATGCTAATTTAACATAGGGTTGTTATCTGACTGTCTTATCTGAACTAGTTGAAGTACAGTATTTACTTGCAATTAAAAATTAAGCAAGAATTACATGTAGGTTCTAATTTACTAACTTTATTCATAGTTATAGAGCAAATACTTTCTAATATTACAGTAACTCATCTAGCAATAGAATAATATTCTCACAAGCACTATCTGTAATGTTTGCAGCCATACTTTCACTTGTGTAGTAATTAAAAAGTAATTTTATCCACAGACAACACATCTAAATGACAGCCATCAGCAGTTGATGGTGCACTGGGTGGGTGAAGGGTCCAATGTGATCATCTGCCTGGCTAGGGATTCAAGTCCTAGAAACAAAGGAGGTTTATCACCATCTGCCCTCTTTATATCTTATGACTATGGCAAGAACTTCACCAATAAAACTGAAAGCTTCAAACTGGGTGATGCACCAGACAGTGGATATGCTCAACTGGATAAGTTCTTCAACCATCCCAAATACCCTGAATTTGTAAGTACCTTTATTTTTATCCTAAATACCTACTGTTAAACATGTTACTATTTTATGGGTGTTTAGGAATCCAGGAAATATTATAATTTTATTGATAAACTGTGACTGTCATGTTTTCTTATTGGATTGTTTTATTGATAGGTTAGTTTTAATTGTATCAATTACCTGTTTAAACAAATTAAGAGTGTGAAATATTTAGCACACCATGCTTTTATTCCTGAGAAGTAAGAATTTCTGTTTATAATTTAAGTAATTTTGTTTACAATAGAACATTAATTCTTCCTATAGATACCTACATTAAACTTCTACCACAGCTCTGAATTAATTTCTAGATTAAATGTTTACTTGTTTATTCAAGTGAATATTCAAAACAAAGAAAATAAGTGGTATTTATTTACAATCATAACACAATGCTTGTGTAATTCCTCATTAAGTATTTAGTATCTATTTTCCATTCATAGGTATGTGAACTATTCTTTAATAAATGCTTGAACTATTCTTTAATAAATGCTTGAGTATTGTGTTGATGTGAATTTTTATTCTATGTACTGACCTCCATATTTAGAATGTCATTAACACAAGCAATAGTTAGCAAACTTTAATATTTTTTTAAATAATTTCTTAAAGATAAAAAAAGATATACTTCATTTTTTAATTGCGATTAGAAATAAGAGTAATAACTTCTTCCATATTTATATAGATTAATGATTAATACACATATTATTATTCACCTCAGCATTTTAAAATTCCACTAAACAAAAGTCTATTTAGTTTTGGACAACAAAACCTTAAATAAATAAATAACAACAAACATTGACATTGGTTATCTAAGATAAAATTTATTTTGTTATTCATCTGATATCAGTCAGTTATCAATTGGTGGTAGTCAAATCTTTTCTGTTATTTCCTAAACATATTTTTGCTTCTTTATTTGGTAGTATGGAGATATTATTCTATAATTATATATTTGATACCCAACAAGGTAAAGCAAAAGGAAATTTAATAAAGTCATCGAGTTGTCATAATTATCGCATTGAATTTGATGAATGTTCAATATTTATTATATACTAGCTGCAACTTCGTCCGCGTATATTAATGACTTCTGGAAAATTTTGCATGTTTTAATTAATCTTTTCCAAGGTTAATTAATTCTAATGGTATGGAACAAATCTCATCAGCATCGATTCAGTTATATTTATTGTAAAATGTTGTTCATTTTGGTAATTTAAAAATATAAACAATCCCACAGGTATTTTACACATATAGTATCCATTCCTGAGGGGTTTCAGTGTTTAAAACTCAATTTGAATTCCAATCATATGCTAAGTGTCCGAAACTTTATGTTGTATTCTACTACGTACCTTGGTTTTCCTTTTATTAAATTTTCGCTTACGATACGATTGAGTTCCATTTTATCAGTTATTTTATTTTAGTCCTCAGATTGCCTATTTACAAATTACATAGGAAACGGAGATTACCGTAATATGGCCGAACGCAAGTGTCACAATATTGTGGTATCCACAAGAAATCTTGTAACAAGTCACATAAGGTCGGAATCTTAACAGGACAGTTGTCCTTTTATAGATAGCCGCATTCGTATCACGTGCGCAGTTCAACGAACTTTACGGTATACCTAATGTCAAGGTATACCGGGAAATTGACAATTTGATAATGTTTTTACTCTATTTTAAGTTATCTTGTTCAGTGAAGCATTAGTTGAGATTAGCGAGGTGTAATTCGCAGTTGCTTTGGATCGTAATTAAATAGGTATTTCTAAGGCTTTGTGAATAAAATCGTGGTAGTCTAAGTTCCGCGAAACTATTTTAAACATTGTTGAACATGAGACAATCATGGATAATACATATTATACAAAAACATCCTATCATAATACAAATAGCCAGAATGTTGAATAGCCTAATAAGCAACGCTAAGACCTCGAGGTCATTCACACTCAGGTAGAACAGACGGTTTGGTAATTTACCAACACTTCTTGTTATATTAACTTTGATAAAAATTTCGGATACTTATTACCATTACAATAAAGCTAAATATTGTTCGCCATATCGACAAATAGTAATTTCTTTTCTTTTGAATAGTAGGTACATAAAAATATGCCGTATAATTTTGTTATTTACTAAATCAGTACGTCTGTTAATGTGAGGTGTACAGTTAGGTATGGACGAGGTGATGCGAAGCAACCTAGTTTTTTTACATAGTTTGAGTTCCGCACTACACAATTACACATGATTTAATTATAATTATTATTAAGTGTAGTGTATTGTACCCCATATAAATATTCTTCTTTAATACACTTTGTAATAAAATATTATCGTTTAGTTCAGTAATTTTAAGGAAAGAATTCACCCAAAATGACACTAATCATATTTTCCTTAAAAAAATAACTATGCCTATTACTACTTTTTTTTAAATACATACACACAAATAAACCCAAATAAACTGTGACTAATTAACTAATCTGGGTTTCAAAATTTGACACACATTTGGCCATTCTTGATTCTTGATATAAAATAAAACAAATATAAATTGCAATAACGAATAATTCAATTCCGGTTAGCAGTTAGTCATAATGACGTCATAACGGTATCATATCTGTTTCCTACGTTTAAATTTATATTTTATAAATAAAATTACAAATTAAATTACCCATTAGAACTTCCGACATCCTACAGGACGTCCAACTAATAATAGGTAATTAAATAATATACGATTTGACTGGATTGGAAAAATGTTCAGCGTGTATCTGTGAGGAAGTTTGTAAATGCGCCCACAACACAGATATATAAATCATTTTGCGTTTTTTTTAATTACTGCACGTTCAATTAATTCAAAGCTACTGAGCTTACCAACAGGTGATCGTCTCAAAATCATTATAATATATTCTATTCCAATGTGCCCTAACTTATGTACTAGTCTTATTGTTTTGTTCGCAGTGTGTATTCGTGGATTCAACAAACAAGAAACTTTTCTACACTAGTGACAATGGACGCACCATCCACCGGTCGGACCTCTCTTTTCACCCCAGTGAGCTATCTTTCGATGAGGAGTTTCCTGACAAATACGTTATTTTGGATAAAGTCGTCACCAATAGAAAAGTAAGTGCTTAATCACTAAGGCTTTGTTAGAATCAAACAAACGAGACTGAAGGTATTTTTTACTTTTTGGACGTTAGAAAATTCTTCAAGGAAATTGGACGAGTAAAATTTAAAAATTTCTCATTCAAAACATACGTAATCGTTATGCGCACTGTGTGTTTAATTGTGTTAATCTGCCTAACTGCCGACACTAAAACGATTACGATTTCCTTAATCAACAATGGGCGAAACAACAATTGAAAATACTTGCAATTCATTGATAGAACTAGATTTTGTTAGAGACAATGGAACATTGATTCTCACATATTTCTTCTGCCTCATTGACATTTCCTTACTAAATATGACAGAAATCAAGAAGTTTCGAGTTATTTCGGACCGTGAGGGTCACTCGTGTGGCACAATAACGGAGGACATGGCCGAAGGGATGTCACCAATCATTGGTTATATGACCGTTTGACCGTCATGTGACTAGCACAGGTTCTAATAGCTGAATGCATATTGATGTGACTAAACCAATTTTTCTTGTCAGTTATCATTAAACTTGTTACGAACGGATTTATTTTGTATTTTCCATCGGTTTTCCTGGAGTGCCATACCTACTTGTTCCATTAGTCCCTTGAGGTAATTGTGCTCGCATGCTTATGAATGTAGGTAACAATGATGAACAACGTCCAAATGCCTTTATATAAATATTGGTACAAATTTTCCCTGTTCTGTGTGTTCATGAAACGGACTTACGAAAATAGGTTACTAAACAAAATAATCATTATCATTATTTGCTTAATCTTTTATTTCTATAGCTGTACCTGACGCTAGACGGCGGAAAAACATTCAAGATGATCCAAAGTTACGTGAAAACCTTCTTCTGGTCTTCGGGTCCTGGTTTCTCGAAGGTGTTCTACATGGAGCGCTGGAAGCCTGATGGAACGAGCACAGTGTTCAGCGCGAGCGATCCTACTGACCTGGTCAATGCTGAGATTCTGTTCGAAGAGGCCAAAGACTTCCAAATCAAAGGAGATTACATGTTCGCCACCAAACAATCCAAAGACGTAAGTTTTTTTTTATTTTTATAAACGCGGAAGTTACTCGGTTTGATTGTTATGATTTGACGCTTAAACAATTGAACAAATTCTTGCGGAGAAATAGAATGTCTTTTACTGTCTGTTGGCATATATAAACCTAACTTCTTCTTCATAATTTTAAGGTAAACAAGTTATTAATAATTCATTTTGATCTTGTCATATCAGTAGGTATGTGTAAACAACAACGTAAACAACCTTTAAACACACAGCTGTATGTTCACTCTAAAGTCATGTCATAAAAAATTGCTCGGAGAAAGTCTCGCCAAAACACGTTTTGCCACTTTTGCATATTCGTACCGTTAAGATAAAAGCAAAAAGTACTAAAGTAGTCTCATAGTAATGACAAAATGAACCTACGAGTTATAGTTGTCTACATTTTTGCATTATTATCGGCAAAATTAGACATTGACATTGAAAAACGGAAGGTATGGTTTGCAGATGTCGTTATAGAAGGAATTTTATATAAAACAGTAACAAGTCACCTTTCGTAGGTCATAACATAATTTGTTTAGAACATTAACGTCAATCAGTTATCACTGATAAAATATCCATATCACGTTCACCCACTCTCAAGTCTCGACAATGTTAGAGAACACTAATGTTGATAGGTTTTGGGGTAAACCCAGTAAGTAGACACACTTGTTTAGAATCATAGAATGGCTCGTACGATTAAATGCCATAAAACTGTAGGTGCTTGTTCCATTAGTTAGTAAATAAATAAAACAAAAGATGAAACGGGTTCGTTATTCGAAACCTCGACAAAGGTTACTCTCACTAAACCAGCGACACAGGAAGCATTTAATAAACAAGGCATTGCCGATAAACTTATTCCTCCGTCCGACAATATGTGACCTCGTAGGTCAACCAAACAAGCAATTTCCCTTACACCTCACTCACCACGAACTCTTTGTTCGCACCTAAAAATAGTTCGATGTCTCAAAATGCTAGGCACAATACGTCGTTGTATCCGATTGTTCTGTTATCAGTCGTTAACTCATGCGAAAGTAACATGTGACGATAATTTATGTACACAACAGTGTCCTATCGATTGTTTTCACACAGGCGTACTTAGTGCATAGCCCGTCTGTTTCAAACAAGTTAGACATTATAAACTATTTCGAAGACAGAACGTAAACAGATGAATTTTCATCACGTAAGTACTTTTGTACTACCTAGGTACACTGTGAACGCAGAAATGTCTGATTCATCAACATGACACATAGTCGATCGAAGCAGAACGCTTAGTTCAACGAGATCGAACGCAACTGTTTACACATTAATTTGTCTATGTACAATTGCTGCCGACAGCAGTAAGATTTAAGTCATTATAATTTGACAACTTTACAATACGATAAAGTTGATTATTTCGTATTTAATGTCTACATTATTTATTTAAAGGAAAAAGCAATTGGTGACCCTTGTTATTCTTGTTAGTGAATGAATAAAGCGGATTTAATGTTAATTTAGTTTATATCGTTGGCACAATTGAGTCATCAATTAAGTGTCATCCAGAAGTACTGTGGTCTACCGTTTAGTTAGTACCTACACCCCTCGGACCATGTACGAACGAATAAATGTTATACACGGCGCAAGGAAGTATCTTGTCAAGCGAATAATGCGGCAAATTGTCCTTCTTCAACTGGCTCCTTGACGGTCTCGAGTGTTCGTACGGATTACCCGAATCACCTCAGTTGATACTATAATGAACCCGTTGGGATTTTATTGTGACTGCATTAAGTAAACGCATGTATATTAGGTTATTGACACGGCATTATTATTTGTATCGAATGGCGGTGCTAGTCAACAGCCCGCCTCCGCACTCTCAGGCGATCTGTTTATTGCTTAAACTTGTCGTGCCGTTAACCGCTAATAAGTATTGCTGATGTTAGTGCGATCATTTTCGTTGACTTTCTTGATTTACTTATATTTATCACCTGTCTTTCTTGTGGAGTCGATGATCTAGGACATTTGAGAATCAAAATATTTGCGTCTTATCATATTATTATACATCAGGAAAGAGAACTACATATTACATTTGAAAATGAACGGGTAGTTTTACTACATATTTGAATAATTTAATAGAGCGAAACAGGTAAGAACTTTGTTTTTGGTAGGTTTATCCTGCTGATTACAGTTTTATTTAATTGAATTGTGTAAATAATAATATTTAGGTGGATGGATCAAGGGCCTGATACAGAAAGCAGTTCTCCTAGAAATCGGCTCGGCTCCTATTTTTTATATTTTTAAATATTATTTTTTATTTTGTAAGTATCTAGTATTTAAAAATGTAATTTGTAGAGAATTTTTAATAAATAAATGTGAATAATAATAATATTATAACGTAACTTAGGTTGTGTTTTTATTAATGAGTCACAACAAATTCGACACTGCAACATTCAACCGCAGTCTACATTAGTACAATACCTACATATTATGTACGTAGAAATAGGAATAACAAAGTCTAGAACACTCGAGTTACAGTGGAGGGAGGCCAGGTTAATAGGTCAACAATATAATAACTTTAGTCCTACAACTTTAAAAAGTGAGTGTTCGTTTACACACAACGAGGTCATTCATTAGACATGATAGTTCCAGTGAGGTTCCAAAAATAAACATTTCATGTTACGGAACACTAAAACATGGAATTGTCTCACGAAAGTACTTTGGTATAAATAATGATTTTATTTAAAGAGCGACCAACACGATTTCACCTAAATAATTACATGTGTTATTTAATATTATTTTCCTTAAACTAGCATAGATCTATACTGCATGCATGCCAGTAGGTAACGTATTTTTATATCGGCACATGTTGTAGCACATATCCATTATGTTGCTGTGAAGTTCGTACCTACATAAAATATCTTACCTCATTTAGAAAATATTTGAAATTAGCATCTTGACTTGATTGGATGAAATTTTTACATGTTGTTAATTCTGTTTTGTAAAAGATAGGTGGTCTTATATAAACTGTACGGCTTTTAGGGCGCGGGTGAAAGTGACAAGTCGAATAAAACTCGATACATACGAATATGACGTCATAGCATGTGCTCGTGCAATGTCGTACGCATGACGTCAGAATGAGATGCATTTTCTAGAAATAGGGACGTCGATGACAACGATAAGTACGCGACGGGAATGCAATATTTGCGATTTTTGCACGATATTACATAGTCGTTTGTCGAGTGCTCCTAGATGTTACTGCTTATTAATATTTCGTTATTGTATCATGGGGATTTGGGGAATGAATTATGAACATGAGATTGTCCTTGTACATTCAATTCCTAGTATTCATTGATAAATAATTTAACTGTGGTGTATTGAGTTATTGAGGAAATATCTAGGTCAGTGCTTAGTGTTAGGTATTATAAAAATATGCTGAACTATATGCTAATATGGATCTTGAACTTTATTCAGTGATTTATACTAATCGGTTTTCGTGACGTGTTGTTACTTTTATGTGTCTCCATAAATATTTAATAACTCAATGAATGTTACAAATTATGTAAAAAAATGTTCTTGGGTCTAATTTAGGAAAAACACTATATTATGCTTATATAGACTATCTTGGCTTGCTTTTTACTAGACTAAATAGGTAATAGTTTAATAATTAGACTAGGTAATACAAATGATTTGCAATTCCATAACACCTAGGATGTTTATTGTTTATGTACAAAAATTACAAATACCATTAAAGTATAAAATTATCTGACATAAGGTAGATAAGAATTTCTTCGATCTTTTTTCAAATTCAAATCAAATTCGACGCCTCATTACACTTGCAATAAAGCGGTACTCTGATTAAATTTTATTCACATTGAACATAGTAGCACCCCATCTTCCTACATTTGTAATGTTAACCACGTATCTAATATAACTTAGTATTAAATTATAGGGCTCGCATTTTTCAGCTTTCAAAAGGGTACCTAAGTAGCTAATAATAAAATACTTGATACTTTGAAACTAACCTAATAGTAGTTGAGGTTTCGAATTTTGAAACTGTTGAAAGATCTGTTCACTTGAAGCCTTATCGGTGGAGCTTAAGTCGATGTCATTGTTTTAGTAATTCGATGTTAGAGTATTTCAGTGGACATAAACAACGGTTTCATGTTGTACTGTGGGTGGATTGTTGCGACATCAAGTCACATGGTGACAAATGACACCATTCGCTTGTATCGCCAGTTTTTAATGCTTTTAAGTGCTTGCACTAAGTTGCTTTTTTAAATTAGATAAGGTTATCTTATGAGTGCACTTTTCCTTGAAATCATTCATGTAGGTCGTTTTTTGACGTTTTCGTTTATTATAATATTTCCAATAAAGGTCCAATCGGCTTTGTGCGATATAAAAAATCTGTTAGTTATCACAATAAAACACCCTTGTGGTGCATGGTGGTTAGACGATACAATGTGTGTCTATAGAATTGCCTACTCTGTTAACATTTAGGTTAGCATACAAACGTAGAATGGAAATTACGAATGGAGTTTCTTGTCCGGTTCTTCTCCATTCGAATCTACATTTTTGAAATGAGCACCTATCTTCTCTGACGGATATACTGACAGGCTATTATTTATTTTGTATTTATTGACGATTCAAAAAGACCAAATTATGGTTTAATTAAAATAAATGCTTTGACTTTGACATAGTCGTAACTCGCGTCTTTGTCCTATGAGGGTAAATGGACACTTTTTTAAGGGGGGTAAATCATCGAATGACTGCTCCCGCCTAGGTGAGGCGGGAGGGAGTGTCAGACTCTTACTGAATTAAAACCACCCCGTTCCTTCTCCTGCACTTCGAGCCGGAGCCCCAGTAACTCGTTAGGTTCTCTGCGACAGGGTAAACAGACTGCAAAGCCCTCTTGCTTCCAGCACGTCTTTCATTTGATGTCATTTTTTTTTTCTAGCACCGCGGTTTTGCACATTAGGGGGAGTCCGGGAGAGTTTATCCACCTTTGACTAAAATGCTCATAAATCACTTTATATTAACAAAACACAATTTTCTACAAATGGTACACTAAGCAACATTATTAAGCTCTATTTTTTCCAAAGAAAATTTAATAAATCATTAATACTTTATAAGTAATTAACGATTTTTACCGAAATGAGATTTGGCTAATATATCCCGCCTGGGTGGGAGACTTGACCCGCCAAGAAGGGAGACATTACCCGGGTTTAAAACTAGGCAAAATAAAAACAACTAATTATAATTATATAAATAAATTTATTGAAAAAAACATAGCACATAATAAAACGTAGTAAATGAAAACAAGAGTTACATAGTTGAGTATCTTTGACATACGAGTAGTGAAGAATTAACTACTTATCTCACATCACAGTAAGTGTTGGTAAACATTTATTATTAGAAAATCTTTTTAACATAGTTTATAACAATATAATTAAGAATTTTCTCAACCAACAGTTATTTTATAAAGAAAACAGTCTTTTTGGAGCAAATTATCTTAAACATTAAACAATATCTTATCAATATGGAGAAAAATGCTAACTTATATAGGCTAGGTATCTTTGTAGCAATCATAACAGTCTAAAACTATTCTATCTGTGTTAGAACTAAAAAAATAACTAAGGTACAAATAGTAAAACCCTAAAGGTAGGACAGCAAAATAAAGAGACTTTCAAAACTAGGAACAAAAAAAACTCAAAACAAAAAAAATCTTCGAAAAAAAACTCATAATCATCAGTCTTCCTTTTTTAGATGGATCAATTAGGACAAATGAACTGTTACTTATTTTCATTTTTGAACAGTCCAACGCATTTTTCATGGACATTTTTACCACAAAAAGCGCAGTCTCATATCCATAACTTCGTTTTCTCCAAAGATGAAACAATACCAATTATCGATATCATTTTGTACTTCATTCCATGAACTATCAGAGCTATCATCATATTTGGGTTTGTCTTCAAGGTCTGTCTCACTGGCACTTGCCTGTAAAAGTTGTCTTTTTACAGACTTTTTCATTGTTGCAACCTTTTTGTTTCTGTTTAGTTATTTTCATTTTTTTCTCAAACTCAGTTCAGTTTCTTATAAATCTTCTAAACCAATCCATCCCTGCGCAATTGTTCGATGAAGCTGGGACCTTTTTGGAATTACTGGTTGCTTTTTGGATACTTAGCTGAAATAATACAAAAAAAATAATGGTTGTCTGTAAAGTTCTAGGGAAACAGAGGGAGAGATTACCCTGGGTAAAGCCTCCCACCGTCGCTAGGGTAATATCTCCCACCCCACACCAAGCTGTCTGTTATTCAATTTCTAAAAAAAACTATAATATTTAAGTAAAAACTGTGTGTTGTAAAGGATACAAGAATAATTACATTGTAGATATATATTCATGACACGCTGAAATCTATAAACAGTAAGCAATAGCACCCAAATCTCGAAAATTGAAAAAAATTACTTACCGGGCACAAAAACCTGTTTTTTCTTGTTACTCGAAAACAAAACTGCCGATAGCAACGAAACCACGTGAGCAAAGTGGGAGGGGACTATGAGTTTTAAGAAGTATGGCAATTTTGCAATATCTAGTTATACAGAGATTCTATGATCAGTGGCTATTGTCTCCTCCCTGCTAAACTCTCCCGGACTCCCCCTACTACAAATTACGTGAATGAGATTTGTGACGGATAACGATTAGTTTCACAATATTCAAGGTTTTATTTTACGCAGGTATACTAATAAAAATCCTCGACCTCCTTAGAAATTGCCACGACCATCTACACAACATTTTAGTGTTTAGTTTTGCATACTATCTACATATCGTGTACCTAAATGCCTATGGGTTACAAAATATACATTTTATGTTGGTTTGTCTGTGTATTAAATGCGTGTTTCTTCCATGTCTTGCACTTTATAAAAGTGTTGTAATACTAAATGTGTAAATATATAGTTTTAGGTACCTATCTTATATTTTTTGTTTTTCTGTTGTTTAAAAAACGTTGCGCCACACTAAGATTTTCTCCTGCGTCGTGGGTGCATTTACAAACATACAAGTTCACATACACATCACACCCAGACACGAAACAAGAGTTTGTGGATCACACAAAGCGTTGCTCCGTGCGGGAATCGAACCCGCTACACGTTGCACGTCAGTCAGTTGCGCAACCACCGCGCGAACCTTGCAGTCAATCAATATTATATGTTCAATTTAGATATTAATTTATTAACATTGAGTACCTAATGTATGTATTCAATATTTATCATATAGTTAGGTAGGTAGTCGTTCTTATTAATGAAGTTGGTATGAGTCATATGACTTGTTGTTCTTTGAGTAATATTTATTGGAAGTCTTACTTATTTTCCATAAAAAGAACCACTATTCAATTAACTCGTCGAGTACCGGTTTTGCAGACACAATTATAGAACAATAGGTTGCGGTCACCGGTGACCGCTTGGTGTTTGACAGTTTAATTTTCTTACTTTTTCATTTAGGTCCTAATTTTTAAATGACTTCGCTCTGGTCGATAGAGATTAAAATAGCCAGCCAGTAGTTGTCTCTTTTTTTTTTTTTTTTAAGGGGGGAAAATCATCGAATGACTGACCCGCCTGGGTGAGGCGGGAGGGAGTGTCAGACTCTTACTGACTAAAAACCACCCCGTTCCTTCTCCTGCACGTCGAGCCGGAGCCCCGGTTAC